AAACAAGATATTAGATGACAGCCAATCAGGCTTCAGGAGATACAGAAGCACTGATGACCAAACCTCTTATCTCACACAGGAAATTGAAGATGCTTTCCAGAAAAAATTCAAACTGCTAGCTACTTCCTTTGCCCTGACCAAAGCCTTCGATAAGGTCTGGAAGAAAGGACTCTTGCTAAAACTAGCACACTGTGGGGTAAAAGGGCATATGTTTGCCTGGATTAGAGACTTCCTTTACAGACGCTGTGCAAGAGTCAGACTGGAAGATCACAAAAGCAAGCTGGTCAGGTTACAAGAAGGTGTCCCCCAGGGAGGTGTTATATCTTCTACCCTGTTTATTCTTTTCATCAATGACCTCCCAAAACAGTTCACGGCTCACATTCACAAGGCGCTACATGCAGATGACCTGGCTATATGGACTCAAGCTGAACATATAGGAACAACTAAAACAAGAATGCAGGAAGCTATAAATACAGTTAAGAAATGGACAGACTCTTGGGGAGTCACAATAAATCAGACCAAAACCGTCTCAACTTTGTTCTCTCTTTCCACAAAGAGAGAACAAGTTGATCTGTAACTAGAAGGCAAAATCCTTCCAAAAGAGGATAACCCCACATATTTGGGAGTAAAATTTGACAAAAGGCTAACTTGGGGCCCCCACATTGAAGACACCCAAAGGAAAGCTACCCTGAGGCTCAGACTTACGAAGAAACTTACTGGAACACGCTGAGGTGCAGATGCCAACACTGTACGACAAGTATACACTGGATACGTACGACCAAAACTGGAGTATGGCATGGGAGCATACTCCACTGCAGCCAAAACAAACCTACACAAACTGGATAAAATACAGAACACTGGTCTCAGAATCATCACTGGAGTTATGAGAAGCACACCAATTAATGAACTAGAGGCAACCTGTGGCCTCCAGAGCATGAGCCTTCAAAGGGAAGAAAAGGTGCTTATCCTAACAGAAAAATTTTAACTCATTAACAACCACCCTATGCACAGAATAGCAAATAACTTAACAAAAAACCGACTCAACAGACAAAGCTTTCACCATTTATCAAAACTGTACTACAAAACAAAACAAAAAAACAGTGACATCCTTTCTAAATATCCTTCAACATGGGAAATGATCCAGGCAAACAACATAGACCTACAGCCTAAATATACAGTCACAACAACAATTCCAGTCATAGACAGACAGGCTAAAGAATGTGACCTAGTACTGCGTGCAAAGACCCTTGAACATGTCTGCAACAGTTATCCAAAACCCGAATAGACACACGTATACACCGATGGATCATTGGAGGGAGCAGACGAAAATGGAGGAGCTGGATCGGTCATCATGCTGCAAGATGGGACCACAGTAGAAACATCATGCGCCTCCGGAAGACTCTCAACAAACTTCAGAGCAGAGCGGCAAGCAATTATTGATTCAGCCAAAGTGCTCAAGGAAAGAAAAATTAAAAACAGCAAAATTGTTTTCCTTTGTGACTGCATGTCAGTCCTCCAGGCGACTCATAGGGATCCACGAAAACAACATAGAAAGAGAACTGACCCGTCAGCTAAACAGACTCACAGAAAACAATCAAATCGTTCTCCAGTGGATCCCGGCTCACTGCGGCATACCAGGAAATGAGCTAGCAGACAAACTTGCAAAAAAATGGAACAAAGAAGAAACAACACGCCCATTCATTGTCATTACCAGAAATCAAAACACTTATCAAAGGAAAATACCAAGGATTGTGGAGAGAACAAACTAACAGTAAACATCCACAAGACCCCATCAGCAGACTAAACAGAAAGCAACATACAACAATTTTCCGTCTACGAACAGGACACTGCAGGCTCAACTACCACATGCATAAAATAAAGATTGTGCAGTCCCCACAGTGTGCCTGTCAGACAGGACCACAAACACCTCAGCACATTCTGCAGACCTGCCCACTCTACCTGCAACTTCGAAAAGACCTGGCCTTAAGAGCAAAGTGTGCAGAGCAAGCTATGGGGAACCATGCAGGACCTGCAGCTGACATGCGAGTTTATAGAGGCAACCCACCTGATGGTCTGATCTGAGCATACGAAACCGAAGAAGAAGAAGAAGAAGAAGAATACATGCAACAAACACAGCAATTCATGCATGCAATAAACACAGTAATTCGTGCATGCAGAAAGTGAAACAAAAGGAGAAAGAGGAGAATAAGAAGAAGCAGGAGAAGAAGAATTCTTATGTGTGTCAGATCGACTGAACCTACAATTGGTATGGGAAAATATCCTGGGAAGTAAAGACGGCTAGTGTTGTTATCGACCTTTGAATGCTGAGTGGTCATAAGACAAACGGGAAGGGAGGGATGTTGTTGGGGTGGGGGGGTGGGTTGGTGGATCGACAGGTGAATAGATAAGGGCAGCTGTAAGAGTGGCACAGAATAGGATGAATCGGACTTTAGTTAAACTTAGTAACAAGTGTTTAATCTCGAGAAGTATGGCTGTTCTAGGAGGTCTGCAACTAAGCTTATGAACAAGTTACTGACTCAAACTCGTAGGGTGTTGTGATCCAAGGTTGGATGCACCCAGTTATTTCTTAGCGGTCAGCTAATTCTCAAAGTGAATATGGAAGCCTTCGAATCTGAATATATTGACGAAGATCAAATGCTTTACCTCTTCGTGTCTTCTAGAAAACTACTGCCAGGCAACTCAAGAGCAAGTTTTGTAAAAAAAAAAAAAAAAAAAAAAACAGCTGCTACCATTTCGCCAAAGAGGATGCAGCTACACAAACTGAGGATTTTGAAATTATTCTTCAGGATTGGCAGCCCGGTGATGCCCCAGCTCTTCAACCAGCAGACGACAAACAAGAAGAAGAATTACCATTGGAAACACCTTCTTCTACTGAGCCGGCGGCCGAGTCGGCTCTTGGTGTCGTCTTGAATGAAACAGAAATATTCGACGTTGCTGGTGAAGAAGATGCCAACCCTGCTCTGCTGAGACAGCGTTTTATCGAAGACATCGTAGCCGCAATTCATTATAGGCGGCCGAAAGTCTTCGAGCTCTTCACAAAGTCCCATGCCTCTCCAGACACTGAGCATGAATGCATTTTTCAAGTATTTTGGGCAACCGTCCTGTGACTTTACTGAGCCAGAGGAAACGCCAGAGCTGGCGAAGCCCAAAAGTAAGCGAAAATCTCTTTTTCGCTAGGCGTCAAAGCGGAGAAAGGCAGGAACCGAAGAGCGCAAGCCATCACCGTCCCAGAGAGGGAACAGAGAAAATCTTTTTTCGGAGGATTTTCTGCTGTTCCTCGTAGCGCGCAGCATAAATCGTCTGATACAAAGGCCCTTTTCAGGGCCACCACCTTTTACCTTTTAAGATTCGGTTATATTTCGGTTTTATATATGTGAAATATACCTAATGAAAATAGTATAGATGGAAAGAAAGTGTGACAGGGAAATAGGTGGGGAGGCAGAGAGCGAGACAGAAGAAAAGGGAAAAAGACAGATATAGGGGAGAAAGAAAGAGAGAGTGAACTAGAAATAAGGAGAGATGAGTACAGATGGAGTAAGAGAATGAGAGAGGAAAACAGACGAAAGGACAGCTCGTTAAAGAGAAAGACAGACACACAAAGCATGTCGTAAAATTCGACTAATTACTTGTTTCCTTCAAAGACGGTGTGCATCTGCTAACAGGCGAACAACCAACAGTCGGCAAAACAAAAAAAAAGCAAGATGTGTAAAACGGCCATGCACGCGAAACTCAAACTCTGGGGCAAAATTGGACGAACAACAAGAACATTCCGCCAGAAGTTTACAGCAGGCGAACATTAAGAAGACTGGCAATGGCTTACACCATACAATGCTTTTCCTTCCGACTTAGACAGTAATCTGTCTCTGTTGTTCTTCCGTCACGAGTGATGAAGACCACTTTTCATCCAAAGTAGTAGTGATCAATGATTATGATTACAAAGGTGGCTGATCAGTCCAATTTAAGCCCCGAAAGTTCTTGAGCAGTAAGGACAATAGGTGGAAGCCGCAAAAAGTTTCAAGATGTGCTCACATTTGCTTCATGGTTCCTCCGTTAGAAACACGCAGATTCACTAAAAGCAATGTAGACCTACAGTTTACATCTTTATTTCAGTTTGACTTTGTTGTGATGTCCTGGTACGGACTAAATAAGATTCACGCTATTTCTTATTGTATTTATAGTCTTTCTAAACGGATCGTGACTTCGATAAACCAAGGCCCTCTATAATTTATGTTAACCTACTAGAATAAATGCGGGATATAAAACTAAAACCCACCACTGATTCAGACTGTTCAGAAACTACTCGCGGACAGAAAATAGAGAGTATATAGACCTCGTTCTATCAATGATAGATATTATTACTTTTACCAATGGAGACGTCATCCTAAAAAAGGGAAAGCATCTTATGACATCACAAATATAATAGTAACTGGAATAAAACATACCCACTGTTCAAAAGATATTCAGACGGATCAGAGGCACCATATTGTAAACTGTGTAAGTGCACTGTTGCACCAAAAATTAGTAGCATATCAAATCATGAAAAAAATCAGAAAAACACAGGATGAAAACTCTGTCAAAAAAGCCAGTCACAGATTATTACAACAATGACTCCTAGGCAAAGTTATGATAAAGTTAAAGCAGCAGAGTTGCAACTTGCTGTAGGCATGACTTGCCATTGTACAAAACGCACAATTGATCATCTAAGTAAAATCATAAGAGCGCATGGTCAAGGATTACACTGGAGCACATACAGTTGCTAATAATTAAATGTTCATGCCTAGTACAAAAGAATATTATAAAGCTTAACAAAATGGGGAAGCAGAAAAACGTGCACAAATAACGTAACGTTTCGGCTGGGCAGCCTTTGTCAAACTACACAAAAATGCTAAATAGCACGGACTATAGGAAGAAGTATTTATCAACTAGCGTTTCTAGGACATCCTTAAAGATTTGACATACCATCTCAGGATTCAGTCAAGATGGCAAATCAGGGAGTTGACCCGCTATTTGATATTCGTGTGGCTTTTCTGACTGGAAATTACCAGCAGTGTATAAATGAAGCACCAAAACTAAGTGTAATCTTTACCATACTATTGTTGTCCTCTAATTCAGGTGTTTGTTTGTTATTCGTTTATACGATTTCAGCCTGTTACCTCTGTTGGTGACGTGGAGGAGAAACAGCAGAGAACGGCAATTATTTCGACAAATAATTGAATGAAAGTTGACATATCATATCGTTCAGTAATCCCTGTCCTCGTGTGCGACGTATTTTTCGTTATTTTCTAGCCCCAACCTGACTGTTGCCGGGGGCCTTAATAATACCTGACCTGACGGCTGAACGGGGTTTCTGGGACCTCTCCACGGGTGATCATCATCCGCATGGTGGCACTTTGTGTCAGCGGGTGTTGATCGTTCTGCGTGATATCCTGGTGCGTTAAATAGTCAGTCTTAAAGTTGACCTAAAATTTGCAAACTAAACTTGATGATTAACAATTCTTAACAATACTTTTAAAGTGAACGATACACCATGGGCTTGATTTACAATGAAAATGGACAGTTAAAGCATATTTCAATAACAAAACCAGCTCAGGACAGAGAAAACTTCACTCCTTTGAATCCCTATGGAACGCAATCCATTGTTTGTGTAAGTTCATGTAATAATAATAATATTTAATATTGTTTGAGTTAGGGCTAACCCTAACCTTAACGTGAAGCAATATTAACTATTATGGAACATTATTATGTGAACATACACAAACAGGGTATTTTGTCCCATATGGTTGCCATAAACAATCAATAGATTGTCTCCCCTAGGGTCGCCGTTCGCATGAGTGCAGAGGAACTATTCTTGCTCGGAAAGAAGTTTGTCTCTCAAAATATAAATGATTTAAATTTATTGATTTGTTGAAGGTAAATCACACAACCCTAAAAGATGCAAGAATCATTGTATCACTTACATAAACCAATGGATACTTAAGCAAAGGTCATGGGGCATAGATGCTTGTTTTACCAGTAATACAGTAGTTGTTGTTGTAAATACTAAATACATCAGGTTATCTGTAATAATGGGAGCTGCCATGGTGTAGCAGCTAGATACTCACCTGCACATCCAAAGGCCATGGGTTCAAGTTGCAACACAGCCAGATTTTCTCATAGTGTTATCCTTGTCCATGGTGTGTTCTGACTACTGTGGCTCTTGGAGCCAATAGGTCTGCCAGCTCAATCCCTCACACCCCAGCATGATCCATTTTATCCAAGTGTCTTTGTAACAGAGAAGTGTAATGCTGGACTCCTGCTCATGCCACGTCTGCCCATTTTTAACTTTATTCAGTAAATAATAAAACACATCAGAGTCGATGATTGCTTTGTTGATAGCTGCCCAAAGCCACAGTGATTACGGGTCACCTCCATCTTCATTTTTAAGGCCAGTGTAGACCTATAAGTTTCTTTTCACTTGACAATGACTCTTCCCTGACTTTAACTGAGAATCCTCAATGAACTTTTCTCTTGGCACTGCATTATTATGTTATTTTGCTGAACAGACCTTAGTTTTAGACTACCATCCTTATGTGGAAACTGCAATAACAGAGTGCTGTCGGAAGCAAAAATAGCTTCGAAGCTAAACATTCTGACAAGCTTGTTCTCCACATTAGCATTAGCCGGAAGTAAACAAATCAAGTTTATTATGTTTATTTAAAAAAAAAAAAAAAAAATAATTTGCTTAGTTGCATAAATCTCAGTTCACTTTTAATTGGAAAACTTAATTGATTGTACATTTTCTTTTATTTTGTCCACTCACAGCTTGGAACCCCAGAACTGAAAATTGAACGTGATGTTCTTATGTACAGAGCATACATTGCCCAGAAGAAATATGGTGTTGTTTTGGATGAGATCAAAGGTTCTAGCCCTCCAGAATTGCAGGCAGTAAGAACGTATGCAGACTTCTTATCAAACGAGTCACGCAGGTATTTTTCACCACATAATTAAAATTAACAATTAAGTCAGGCTCCATATACAGACAGTAGACTGAGTCATTGCAAAACTCTTTTCTGTGTGCATTTACCTTTATATTTGTCTCAGTCCATGGGGTGTTGTTGGAAATGAAAGAGCTGATAGATTGGCTAGTTCTGTCTTAGGTGCAGATGGCCAGCCTATGGATTATGCAAATATTGTTAATGCCTTTAGAAAGATAGGACGATGCAAGGATTTTAAGAGCAGCATGTCCACATCACTGCTGAGAATTGGGACCTGATGTCTATATTGAAGAAGGAATCTGAGCACCTAGACCATTTAGCATCAGAATTAAAGTAAAAACAACGATTGTGAGTACGAGGATGGCTAATGAGTCTTTTTAAAACCTGGAAAGTTTTTTAAACAATGCGGACAGCTGATGGAACTGACCGTATAGGTGGAATTTGCCATGCAGTTATGTCTACTCTTTGATGCTGAAGATGGGGACAGAGCGCTTATGGGGGTGTCCTGAGTGCTGTGATGTCAGTTCTTAATTCAACATTCAATCAAAGGAAGGTGATTGGGCATCTAACCACCTCGGACTAGGGTAAAAACTGAGGATCTGTGTACACATTAAAAATCTCTTGCTATTTGGGAATCAAAAAAGAGCAGTCATATAAGGCCATTATCCAGGCACATTTTTTAAGTCAGTAAAGCTGTGAGGGATTGTGCCATGATAGTGCAGGGACTTGATGCTTATTTATGGACCAAAAGGTTTAGGGTTCACTTCCTTCGATCAGTTGGTTTGTCACCTTCTGGCGCAGTTCCTTTGATTAATTGGTTTGTCCTCTTCTGGTTCTGTTGATTTTTCCCCTCCTGACTGTTACCTAAAATTGTACCACCCTAAGATTTAAAAAAGATCCCAGCTGGATGGCACACCAAGATAGATCCCAGATACCCTGTTTTACCATGAGAGAAGTTATAATTAGGTCACCTGTAATGGCTACACCAGTCTTGTGTAACCTCTAGTCCTGTGTGAGCTCGATTCCACACTGAAGTGGGGTTTTTAAAATATGTCCAGGCCTCTCCAGGTGAACCAGCCCAACATGTGTACCAGGAAATATCATTGGAAATAAAAGTGGTATGATGTTGACTACATCAAACCATGAGTGCCAATTGGTCTATGAAAATATGGATCTGGCCCCATATCCCCAATGTACATGGCTAGAGAAGGGTGCTTTGCTTTATGATGAGGTTTTTTTCATTTTATTTAGAGATGCTATTGTGAGGGAACTGGAGTCCAAAATGAGTGGTAATGTGGATCTCACCAACAGCACTTTCCTGCTTATGGCTGGGTCCATCTACTACCACCAGCAGGTTTGTTGATTTTAGAAATTTGTTTTTATGTTGATTTATCATCATCATCAAATGCCTAGTAGTGTCTACACTTATGTCTCCTCATTTCTTTATGAATTCCACTGATGATGTTTCCCCATGCCATTGTTTCAAACTGTTAAGCGTTATCTCACTCAGCTATCTCTGTCTCTTTGATCTTTCCAGTCAATCTCCAATGCATCTCCTCTCATCACATGATCAGAGAACACTGACTGCCTCTTTGTCATAGTTATATTTAGTTTTCTAAATTCTGAAGCCATTTCCAGGCAGTCATTGTTGGTTGCTCTGTCTGTCCATGGTATCCAGAGCATGCGTCTCAGAAACCCCATCTCTACAGCCTCCAAGTTCTTCCTAATTTGTTCATTCACAATCTAAGATTCCCAGCGATAGCCATGTGATTATTATCCCAGTTAAATGTTTGCTAATTAATGTTCTGTTTATAATAATTTATTGTCTTAATAGAACTGACTGTCTTCTCCTGCCCTTTATCCCAAAAGCCTCTTTTCTTGACCTCTTGATTCACTGAAATTTTACTTCTTCACATAATCTCTCCAGTATTGATAGTGTCCTAAAAACTGTCACACAATATTTTGTGTTGTAATTTTTGGAATGCTTACATTTATAATTAGAAGGTTGCAAAATTTGAAAAGAGAAAAAGCATAAATATTATGTAAATTGGTACAGATTTCCTCTCAGTTGAGGTTTATGTTAGAATGCAATAAAATTAATAATTTCATTTTAATAATTGTCGGAGGTGTGTGACTGAAAGGTGTAGATAGACCAGAAAGGTGCCACAGCCGAACATGAAAACTACGGCACCACACGATTCCTCCATGCAATGCCACATGCATCGCACCACAGACCTCATAGAGACATGTGGCCTTCTCACCTGAAAACCAATGGCAATGAGAAGAAAAAGATAAAAAATTTAATAATTCATAGAAGTCATGATTTTATTTTTCAGAATTATGACTCGGCACTGAGAACACTGCACCAGTCTGACAATATTGAGTGGTGAGTTCGTGTAAACTTCATTATTGCTTTTTCTAGTTTTCTAGTAGAGAACATGTTCTGGTGATTAGTGTACAGGTACATAGTCAAAGTGGTCTCTGGTTCATCATGGTAGTGTGTGGTTCATCGTGGTAGTGTGCGAGATGTTTTCCCAATCATTGGAGCCAAAGCCTTGTGTGGGTTCTGGGGCCCTATTGTGAGGAAAACAAGAATAGACCCACTGTCTACCCAAAAGCATGTTGTAAGAGTTGACTAATTGGGAGCTTCCTTCGAAGTCAGAGTACATCTGTCTGAGAGGCAAATAACCAACAGTCTGCATGCATATGAGTCGGATCTGTGAAACGGATGTGCATGCAACGCTCAGTTTATGGAACAGAACTAGAGTCCAGAAGTGGACAAACAACCATAACCGCAGTTTACAGCCCGTATACACTAAGAAGAAGAAGATTAGAACCAGATAAAATGAACAGAAAATTATTATGACCAGTTAAAAGATCTGGGAAAACTGAACGTCTGACTCAGAAGTTACTTTGAACACTCCAGACATTTTTTTTCAAACGCATAAGCTGGCAATGTTTCCCTATTGTAAATTTGAACAAAGAAGACACAAACAATAGACTGCACAACCGATTGCCTGGCATATTTAGCTGTATCTCATCAGGTGCATACTACGGTAACAGTTACATAAATGAAGCAAGTAAGTGAATCCTTTATAACCGAAGTACAATTTCTACAACGATCAAACATGACTGCCTGTTTTTACCAGGGCAGTTGTAAAGACAGAACCATCTCTTTCTGAATACAGAGTTCCGGATGCAGGTGACAAATCGCGGAAGCTTTGAGAAATCTTAGAAATAAACTGGCCACTTATTATATCACAATAGCAATAACTAAGTATAATGTCATCACAAAACAGATCATAAAAAGACAATAAGAAATACAAATGTAGGTCATTTTTAGCCTACAGGTTGGTTCAAGTTGATAATTGTGATGAGGAAGAACTGATCTCTCCACCTTATATGTCATAACTTAGAATGTGTGAAGGCATATCACTTACACCCCAACAACAGTATCTTCTGTCTTATCACGTTAAGTTAGGAATTAATGCCCGTCACAAAAATCTTTCCCTGGAGATAATTGCATTGTGAAACTATTTTACTAATATTTAAGCCACAGGGGTGATACATACTGTGTATATATACAGCATACTGGAAATAAAGCTTTCTTTCTAGGAAACTACCATGCATTCAGTTTTTGTTTGGGGGAAAAGCAGAGAGATAACATTACATTAGCTAGCTTTTTTTTGAAAAATTAGGTGATATAATTTTGCTGTTAAATTTTATCAGTGTGCTGTTATAATTGAAAATGTCCTTTTTTTTTACAGCATTGCTTTGATGGTACAGACATTATTAAAACTAGACAGAGTGGATCTTGCAAAGTAAGTTAATATTGTAACAGTGTCTCCCTGTATGGATTCTGGGTTCCCATTTTAGGATGAAAAGGAATTCCCCCACACGTCTCAAAACTAATCAAGTCCTGAACAAGACTTAAGTCCAGGAGTGGAAGAACAACCAGAATTTTCCATTGGGGTGTTTACAGCTGGTGAACACAAAGAAGTAACAATGTCAAAAATTGTTTTTCTGAATGAAAGATGTAATGTACACCTATATACTACTTCACGACTGATGCCTCTCATGTATAGTGACAGTCAACATGTTCTCAAATAAGTCAGCAAACATTTAACTTTGTATGTGTAGATGTTAAAGAGAGAGAAAGATATGTGGGCAGGTATGGATACGACTAAAAATTTCATCGGGAGATGCATTAACCTAGTGGCTAGATGCTTGCCTGAAGATTCTGTGTAGGAAATCTACATCGAGATCACATTTAAAAAAAATACTGACCCCGGCTGCCACCAGCCTAAAATTGTAATGTTATAAGAAGTAAAGATGGCCAGTGACCTCATCACCCATTTAGTGACACTTGGTCTATAAAAATAATTGGCCTGGTATTTTTTGCACCACTGGCATAAAATGTTTCCTTTATATATATATTAAACATATTTTATCAGAGGAAACACTGACTTTTTTCTTTTAGAAGAACGCTAACTAGTTTTGAAGTTATGATGGTATGCATGTATTTGTAATTATAAATATTTTGCATTTCTTTACCAAAGGAAAGAACTGAAAAGGATGCAAGATTCTGATGAAGACAATATTCTGACACAGCTGGCTCAAGCTTGGTTTAACTTGGTCATAGTAAGTGCACTGCCATTGTTGCCTTATTCATTAATTACATAACTGCCTTTACTAATTACGATCACGAGAGATCTTGATCACACAGACGACGTGCTGTGGAAGGAGAAATTAGTCTCCCATACTGACTTGTAGAATGGATTTCATTTTGGCTGCAGGGTTTTTTGATATAGCATGGAAAATGATAAGGGAGTTAAAATAAGTGTAAAACTTAGCATCAGTTGGTACATGCACAGAAAAGAGGGAATTAAATGGTCTGAAGAATCACTAGTGTAGAGCTTTGGAAAGAACACAACATTGAAGTGAATCAAAAGGAAACTAACGACTGGGGTGAATAAGACAAGGAGGACACTGGCGTACTGGGATGGGACATATTGAAGCCTTCTTCTTCATGCTCCTGGCTGTAATCTCCGGCAGAAAGCTCTGGTTGTTTGTTCACTTCTGGACTATAATCTTGTTCCAAAACTTGGGTTTTACTGGTCCATCTATTTTACAGATTTAGCTCTGGTTGTTTGTTCACTTCTGGACTATAATCTTGTTCCAAAACTTGGGTTTTACTGGTCCATCTATTTTACAGATTTAGCTCTGGTTGTTTGTTCACTTCTGGACTATAATCTTGTTCCAAAACTTGGGTTTTACTGGTCCATCTATTTTACAGATTTAGTTTTTTTGTATATAGACAGTTGGTTCCTTGCTTCTCATGCAGATGTACATTATGACAAATTATGTGAAGAAAAATTATATAATTACAGAATGTTTTTTTTGCAGGGAGGAGATAAATACCAAGATGCCTACTATATTTTCCAAGAGCTAGCTGACAAGCATACAAGCACTCCTTTGTTGCTGAATGGGCAAGCTGCGTGCTATATGGCTCAAGGAAAATTTGAAGATGCTGAATCTGTGCTGCAAGAGGCAATGGACAAGGTAACTGAGGTTCTTCTGTCTCATTGTATAAATGAATCATTGAGGTGTGTCATGATTCTGTTCTTGTTGCTCACTTGGTCAGGTTGAATACAGGTTGTTACTGGTACATCTCGCACAACAGCATTGTCGATATCTTCTTTATCATTTACCTCTTCATCGTTCATTCAAGTGACGAAATGAGAAAACGCGCCTTTCGGCCGACACATACGTCTTCTGGCATTTGTTTTCTTGGTTAGCCTTCCCAGTTAGTTTCGCTGGACATCTTTTAGCCTCATTTTTGTGGTGACTCCATTATCTCCTAATTGCAGGTTTTGTACTGAGAAGACCTGTCCAGGACAGTCGCATACAGACTGATCGGCCATCAAGGGGAGGCAGGGGCAGATCGTGGACATTGTCTGCTATCTAAGAAAGCTTCCATAAATCATTGTGGATAAAAGGGCCAGAGTAACATTTTGGGGACATGGTTGTCCAAACCTCTCAAACTATGAATGAGTACAGAGTTCTTAACATACAACATGTTTCCCATTGATGCAGTTGAATACGTTTCGTTAAATTTTTACACTATAATGTACTATTAAAGGGTTTTCAGTTTGAAACAAAACTTAGATTTAACCTTTTTTTTTTTTTTTTTTTTTTTTTACAATTTTAGGCTATCCTCTGACTAAGGGTCGGTAAAGATGGCGGCCACAAAATATCCTTTCGAGCCACAGTCACGTGTCAATTGCGCCAGCGACTACCCCCACGTGGGGCTAAACTAGATGGCTAAAACTCACGAGCAGCAGCCGCGGTGTGCTCACGACCGCTAGTGCGCAATAGACACGTGACTGTGGCTCGAAAGGATATTTTGCGGCCGCCATCTTTACCGACCGTTAGTCGGAGGATAGCCCAATTTTATGCTAACAATAACAGTGTATGTAAAGTTATGGAAGATCAAATAGATATTTTTTTTTCAGATGCAAGGACTCCTTTCATTTGAGAAGCTTAGGTCACCTCCCTCTCCTTTTGTATATGAAGTTTATGAAATGAATTAATACCACAGCAGTAATTACCTCTAGTTTCTTCCTAAAATGTATAAAGGTAAATGAATTTCAGTCTGTAAATATACTTGAACTCTTGTGTAAATATCCTCGGTGCTTTATTAATATCCTACCCCAAATAGGGGGAAACCACAAGTCACGGGACAGTCTAATATTTCAGGGGGTGGTAGATAGGCTGCATACAGTCGTGGGACCTAGGCAGCATGCAGTTGTGGGACCTAGGCTGCACTCCCTCGTGGGTTGGGGTTAGGGTCAGTTCTAGATGTTTTGGGGTCGTTAAAAGCATCAGAAAGCAGGGAAACCCAGCCTTATCACCCTCTCAAATGTTGGACTGTCCTGTGACATCATCTGGGGTGAGATATTAATAAAGAACCATACCTTCTTCTTTTTGGGTTTGCTTTCTGATTTACACTGACAAGTTCTTGTGATAAACTTGACTGTTTTTAGGAGATCCTTCTAGTTCCATACAACTTTAAGTAGAGTGTTGACTCATTCCCTTCTTAATGGGCTGTGCAAGGGATATTCTTGCAGGATATATTCTGTAGTCTGCACACACAGCCGACAAGGGTACAGTGGTGAGCTACTTAGACAAAGCTTGTGCATATGCTTGCTAAGTTTGTTATGTCCTGTCCTGAGGCGTAGACTAAGAACCTTTTCATGTCGGTCAAGTAAGTGATAGACATCTCTGGCCAGAGGGTAAATATAGGGGTACTAATATTGGTTGTACTTTTTTTGTTGATTGAGTAAACTGCTGTGTTTATACTTTACAGGACAGTAACAATGCAGAGACAATTATTAACATGATTGTCCTTAGTCAGCACTTAGGAAAGGCACCAGAGGTAGGTATTTCTTGCACTGATAGATAAGTTTATTCATCTTAAGCTAGATTATTTTAAAAAAAACTGTACACACTTGGTTTAAATAAAAAAATAAATTGTTGGATGCCACAAAAAGGTGCTGGCAATTAATTTGGTTAATGTGCTGTCTTGTCATACTTTGATTCAAAATTGATTGCTTTGCCTATTTCTAAAGAATTGTTAAATTATTAAAGGATCAGTACATTCAGATATCGTACTTCACGTTTAAACTGCTGTACTTGGCTGTTGCAGGTGAGCAACAGGTATCTTTCACAGCTCAAAGATTCCCATCGTAGTCATCCATTTGTCAAGGACTACCTGCAGAAGGTAATGAATTTCTTAAAAGTTGATGACAGAAATTACTAATGGGAATAAAGAGTATAATTTTACAAGTATAATTCCCTTTGGGGGTTCTGGTACCCCTTGTGGGGGGGGGTGGGGGGGGGGTAGACCCACTGCCCCGAACAACCATGCTGTAAAAGGTGGTGACATTTTTTGGTTTTGCTGGAATGGGATGTGTTTTAATCTGGACGAAACATATATAAATGAAGTATAACATTTACATAATCAAACTTTGTTTACCCAATATTTGTTTATCAGTACAAAAGTGGCGACTACTAGCCATACAGCCCTACATCCTCTAGCTCAGGACCCTCTGTCCTACAAGCAGTAAAGCCGGTTTTAGTTTTGTCATATATGTTAAAAAAAATTTATTCACCTTTGAAAGTGAGAAAAGCCACATATTCATTTGATTGTGACGAAGCGTATACAGTAAGAATCTTCGCCGTCGAGGTAGGTGCAAGATGTCTCATTTCCACTTCATTGTAAAATGTGATTAAACAACTAGGCTTGAGAGGGAATGAGCGCAAACGAACACTTAAACAACTGGGCGAGGTTGCTGAGAGGGCCTCAAGCTGGCTCTGGACACAACAAAACGACATGGGGGCCGGCCTTGGTGAGCTGGTTCTGGTGTCTAGTGGAAAGGAATGTCTTATCCCTTACTGGCCATCCCTTATCCCTTAAAGTCCATCGTGTCCGAATTGTCTGCCAGTGTCCCTCTGCCACCTGCCAACAAAGTCCAACATGTGTCCGGTAAACCAAACGAAAGCTTGCCACTTGGTCATCCAGGTAAGCAGACTGCTGTAATTATGCTACCGCAATGACTTCATATCTCACAGTACCTTTTGCAAAGTCACCAGTTCGTCTTGACCCTCTCCGATAACATCTGATAATACGTGCAGCAGGAAAAACCAACCCTGAGCCTCATGAACTCAGGTGGGCCCACTCTGAAAATGTCTAGGAGCTCGTGGGCCGAAACATTTGTCGACGAGAGATTACTTCAACTGATGATTGGTAGACTCCCGCTGTATATGCTTCCCTGTGGAGTTTCTTCTTATTCTTATTGGTCAGAGTGCTGTTTTAACAGTAGTCTGGGGGTTAGATACTTGCCTGCTGGGTCAAAGGTCTTAACCTCTAATTCACATGAGGCTAATTTTTTTTTTAAATATGTGACCTGGGATTCCCATCTCGACCTAGCCTTAAAAAATGGGTACCAGGAAATATCTTGCGAAATACAGGCGGTCAACTTGATGATGGTTGGTCAATATAGATATGGGTCTAGAACACTGGTTCTCAACTTGTGGGTTGCTGCCCCTTTTGGGGCCAAATTACCCTTTCAGAGGTGTTTCTTAAAACCATCGGAAAATACATGTTCATTGAAGTTATAAAGTAATAATGGAAATAATTGTATGTTTGTGGGTCGCCACAGCATGAGGAACTATATTAAAGGGTTTCCGCATTTGGAAGGTTGACAGCCACTGGTCTAGAACCATATGCCTGATGCACCAGCAGTGTGTGAAAACACCTTTACTTACTCTTATGTTATAAGGGTGCAGTTGTTATTTCTCTATAAATTGCTTGTTGTTCATGTTGTGACCCTTACTTTAGGTTACTTACTTTTCTAAAGATGATAATTATTTGTGTCATTCCATTTTTGAGAACACATACACTTTTAGAAAAGCAGATTTCTCAGATGTTATTATGGGCTTAGTAATTGCAGATTTTTATTTATAATCCCACTAAATGTTTGTGTTATGATGCTAGTTTTTCACCTTTGAAATACATTTTTGTTTTCTACTGACAGGAGTCTGAGTTTGAAAGGATTGCCAAGAACTACTCTGCCTCAGTGCTAGCATAAATAACAAAGATTTGCTTATAAATTAGCTGTTACGCTAGTTTTTGATTCATACAGATATTGTTCTTATAGCTGGTAATGTGACTTTCCATAATTTTGGTAAACTGTAAATCGGTTAATAATTATTTTTTTTAAAGTGCCGATATGGGAAACAAATGATATAGGGAATGAAGATATCCAAAAAAAATTTTAAAGTGCCGATATGGGAAACAAATGAATTAGGGAATGAAGATATCCAAGAGAGACTATGCAGAATGTTGATGAGAGAGACCTGAGGTTCCAGACTAAATTGTATACATGATATCGAAAACATGGCATATGATAGAAAGAAATGGAACAACTGACTGCTGACCCTGTGTGTACACACCAGAGAAACAAGAAGGATATACCAGTAATTGCAGAGGTTTGTCTTATTTTCTGTGAAGCATTTAGAACAGAGCTACCTTGTCGATCTAATTTAAAATAGGTAATGCGATTGATGTGATGCTGGTCACTTCAACCATCAAGTGTCATTTCGTTTTTAAAAAAATGGTATGTTCACTTTAAAAAAAACATAGAACACGCTTACATACTCCTGAATTATTATCTGAATTTTTTCTGTTTATATGCGTAGCATTATTCACACTTCAAATGTTGAAGTCTGTTAACTCTTTCAGCACCATCCAGTCATTAATTACATATTTTTTTCTACTCCGAGTCATTCTTGTTTAAAACAGGTCCTGACTGAATCCACAGAATTGAAAATAGTGCTATGAAATCTCAGCTAACAAAAAGGATTAAATGAGTTAATGTGATTGAAGAGAGTCAGAAAAACTAAAATGGGAAAAAAAAGGACTGAGGAAGCAAGGACACCTAAAAGAAACCCTTGAGTGAACATTGATGATAGAGGTCAAAGATGTTGGACTGGATTCCATCCATGATATTGATTGCACGGGATAGAAAGGAATGAGCGAATAGACTGTGAGCCTTATGTGGCATGCAATGGTACAGCAGAATGATGAGAATGAATTTGATACATAGTCTTTTCAATTTCTCCATAATGATGATCATATTATTTCCTTTTCACTTCTTTCAAGATATTTTTTGTTATGTAGTGACAGATAATGTTGGATTTCTGTACTGGGGTTGATAATAAAGTACTGCAAATGTTTTGTATTGCTTTGTCTTCACAAACACATTTGGTTGCAGAGATGGAAGAATGATGTTGTGGTAACATGAATGTAAGTTATCAGCATGCCTTGTTAATGCAAAATAAATTTTGGGGGGGGGGGAGGGGGGGGGGGGAGAGACTATTACCACCTAGAGAGATTAAATGTTGTAAAGCATCCGCCTCTTAATACGAATGATATATACAGTAAAGCTAATGATACAGTCATCATCATCACGTAGCAGGTCCTTTGCAGAACATCACTCTCATCACGGTTTGCCTGAAAGAAACTGTCTCTCGTCAGCTCCCCTGCCTCATGTACTTTCATACTTAAGGACTCGCCCATCTTTGTGTTGGTCGGCCCCTGCCCCTTCATCCTGGTACCATGTCTTCTGCTATTATTTTTTCGAGTCCGTCGTGACGCTTGATATGACCAAAATATTTCAGCTTCTGGGACAGGTTGCTGTTTATTAGCCAATCTTCCTTGATGTTCAGATCTTTCAAGACATCAGTATTTTTCCTCTTCTTTGTCTAAGATATTATTTCTAAGAATCTTTTTATAGCATTTCAGCTCAAAAGCCTCTATTCTCTTTCTCAAGGACTGGAAATAGTCCTCGACTCGCATCTGTATGTTGCTACAGGGAAGATGCATGCTCTCAAAATTCTAATTTTGACCTTCTTGCTGGTGCTTAACCATAGACTTTTAATGCTTTTTAATCTTTGCATTGCTATGGCCATCCTCCTTTTAATTTCTGTACTTCATCTTAATAGAGCTTCCGTTAATTGGGAACATTTAGATGGTACAAAATGGCACAGAAGATTACCTATTTCAATAGTAATTTTTTTTTTAAACATCCACAAACTCCTGCATTTATCTTGTATTTTCATATTGTATTGGGCAGTATTTATGTTGTGTCCGTTTACCACAGAGTTGCAATATCTGTAAATCCTTGCTTTGACAACATTGGTAGGAAATCTCTAAGGAAATAGATGATCCCAGAGAAGGCACAAAGGCAACATAAAACGTGAAATGTTGAGATTTTTTATTTGGGGTTGAACTAATACATTTGAAAGAAGTTTGTTACCTAAATTATTGTTTATAGACTGATGTTCACAAATTTTGAACATCAGTTGACTGGGACAGTGTGGGGACTGACTAAAGAATACTGACTAGGATAACTGATTGCAAAGTAAATTTGTCACAAGTCTTAAGAATTCTGTCTGGAAACATTTTATGTGGTGTTTGTTGCCCTAGTCTTTGTTTCTGCAGAAACTTCCATGAGGCATTGGTAGTTGAAATATTAAATGTGTATTTCAACTGGATAAACTGCCTTCCACAGCTTATCAGTTTAATCTGCCCAGGATGGTTTTCACTAACTCAGGTTTAGCCAGTCAGTCAAGACTGTTGCCCAGAGTGTGGCACCAAGAGTGATAAGTGACCTAGATAGATAAAAGGATCCAAGAAATTTTTACCATCTTAAAGGATGTGCCTGTCCCCCTTCTTGAGGTAATATTTCTTTCTTTACCCTATACCTCTACCCAAGAAGTAAAATGCTGTCGATCTTGTGAAGAACTTAACAAGTCATCAAAAAATAGAACGAGAGGTAACAAGAACTTCCTTGGACTTCCACATAGCTTCTGAAGATGTATGATAATATGCCAGGATACTTATTAGAAAATCAGCCCTTCCTGACATGCTCAGACATAACCATGAACTGGTTTTGCTGCATCCAATAATTTAATATGTTGTATTTATTCCCTTATCGGCTCTGTGGTTAAGTCGATGTAAACACTTCGTAATGCCCGGTTCGACCGCAGCTGCGGGCCAAGCGCCTTGCGTTGGTTTTGACAGTGGTATCAAGAAAGCAATGGCAAACTACTGGATGTAAATTTGCCTAGAAAAACCACACAACAACCAGTGGCTGTTGGGGTTGGTTCTGCAACGTCCTGTAAAGGATATGCAACTAACCTTATTTACTCCCTTGGCCACATTTGTAATTATACAGACAAGGCACATGCTCCTCAAATCAACACAGATCCTTCACCATGAAATTTCCCAATAAAAATACTGACCCCACTGGTCACTCGCTTTCCTGCTAATAGTGAACTGTGTCCTCTCTTTACCATAACTTGATAACTGATCACAGTAGATACCCTTGCCATCGGACTATCTACACTCATGCCACCTTCCCCACGGCTCACTATCCAAACCTCATTCCTCTCTCTCTCTCTCTCTCTCTCTACAGCTTTTTACATATTAGTCAATCCTCTTCTACCTTGAGGTGCAGAAGTTTGCCATAGAGATCGCCAGACTTCTCTTATCTTCTCAGTTTTCTTTTTTACTTTTTTTTTTCCATTCCAATCCTCTGTCAGATATTGTCTTCTTAGCGAACCCTGGTTCTCAGCCTCCCGTGACAGCTGATTTTCTCCCATTCTGCATACATGTCCAAACCATCGTAACTGTGACTAATCCACTCAAGTTCGCACATCGATCGTACTCTCAGTCTGAAGACTGAAAAAAGATGGATGCTGAAACAACAGCTTCGTAATTGTGATTTCCTTAGTGCCAGTATCATCCTGTCCTACAATTAAAATCTGATACAAAGTAAATTAGGCATACTTTCTTTTTCTTCTTCTTCTTTGCGCTTACTGGGTGTAAACTCCAGCGGAAGGTTCTGGTTGTTTTTCCACCTCTGGACGAGTATTGTTCCAGAATCTGAGTGTTGCATACACTTACACATCCGTTTAACATATCTGGCTAAATTGTATGCATATTGGTAATTTGGTAATCTTAGTTTCAGCTTCATAGCAAACGGGTCACCCCATAGTTGCTCCGCTCCTGTGTCAAAATGTTTATCACAGTTCAAATGAAATCCGCAGCTCGTAGTGTCACGCCATGCACTTAACTCAGAAGCTGGGCAACAAAACTATATCCTTCTAGTCTACAAATGATGCAAAAATGCAACGGCCACCGTCTGGCAGAAGCAAAAATATTTGCCACGGCTAAAAAAAAGTGGCCGTGCCTAGCGTCCATTTTGACCTGAAGAATTATGTGAGGGTTAATAAATGGTTGCCCCAGCAGTACCCTCACTATTAGCTGGAGAATGGACTTAAGACATTACGTCCACCAGCAGGCGTCGCCCCTACAACGACCTGACTGCCTTCGTTAACGACTAATCACCCAACAGCCATGCAGTTCTTTGGCACGAAGGAGACACCTTGAATTTGGGTTTCGGACTGCCGACTCCCTACATATGCAGATTCTTGATCCCATGCCTCTCAGGCAGAATTAGGAAGATCCCAGTTAGTCGACTCTTACGACATGCTTGTTGGTATATTCTTGTTTTCCCTACATGGGACCCCGGAACCCGCACGGGGAGCAATCAAAATTACTGAAAATTGTGTTGAATTATTTATATTTTTTTTTCAAACTAAATCTTGAATATTAAACCCCAATGTTTGATCAGTTGTGCTATATGCATCAGAAGCATAGATAACAAGTAAAATAATAGTAATAAGCTACATGAATTGGGGCCCTTTGTAATGTAGTTGTAGGTAAGTGTGTTCAACAAACATTGAGAAAGATGGAGGAGGAGAAATAAAATACGAGGGACTCCATTCATTTATTTGCTCCGTGAAGTATCTGCGGCTTCTGTCTCTTTGATGGAAACATTGATTCCTTGTCTGAGTCGTACCTCTTCCCCTACAAGTTTGCATAGAAGCCTCCCACACTTACAGCTGACATCAGTCTTGGTTTGCGAAGATCTTTCTGTGACATTGGTATAAACATCTCATTGGATTCTCACGTCCTACAATTCGTCATCATCGCTGGACTTTCCGTGTCAGTCGGAGTCTTCCTTAGAGATGGTCACGTTTTCTGGGTTGGTTTTGTTTTATGGCTAGTCTTTTTTGTTTTTGATTTTTTGATCACCAGGGGACAAGTCTAAGAACCCCTGTTTAACCCGTATATGTTATATTAGGGGCCGCGACAACAGCCAGAGTAGGGCTTTAAAATAAATAAATAAAAATTGCGCCGTTTTATGCGGATATTTGATTTGTTAAGGGAGGTTTAAACATACAACGACGGAAGATTGGCATGAGCTGGTTACAAGTTTATGCAGTAGTAGGTAAGTAAGTTTTATCCCACCCGGACATCACACACAGCGATAACCAGCCGGTGACACAAAGTGCCACCATTCGGATGAGGATCACCCGTGGAGAGGTCCTGGAAACTCCGTTCAACCGTTAGGTTATATTAGGGTCTTCGGCAACAGCTAGGGTGGGGCTTAAAAAAAAAAACACGAACAATTGCATCCGAATGGCTACTTTACGAGTTAATGTCCCATCTGAGGAAAGAAACCAGCAGAAAAAGGCTTAATGATGAACGAACTAACAAACTTTGTTTCAAAAGTGTGAGAACTGGTCACGCCTGTCAGTCTCATATTTTGTCCATTCGTGATGATTAAAAAAGAGGCTTTTTTTTAAGCTACTAATCTAAAGAAAACATTTAAATATTATTGTTCATGGCGCAGAACCGGGAGATCCTGTACAGAAAGCACGTTCTCGTTATTTTACAAAATATTATCTCCCCTAGCATGTCAAGATCGTTTCAAGATGTGCCAATCATCGATTCGCATTCTTGAGACCGTGCAGAGGCGAGCTTTTGAAATACTTCAGGGAAAAGGGACAAGAAAGCTCCAGCTACATCGTAGATTTAAATCCGCTTTGTCACACGTGACAGGTTGTTTACATGCTGACAAGGTCTAAATCTTTATCCACGCAGGACTACGACACGGCCTGTCGGCTCTTGGAGCCATGACGTAGACTAAAGGTTGCAAGAGGCAATCTTTGGAAGTTGAACAATATATATTTTATAACAATATATAATGTATATACATATACACACATATGTTATACATATATATTATACTAGCTGTACCCGGTCACGCGTTGCTGTGGCATAGTTTGGCTAAATGGAAAAGAAAGAAAATATAAATCGCACGTGTCTAATATGGTTACTGTCACAATCATTGTCTGCGCACATACGGAGATAGTCATCGATGCCCCCCCCCTTCCCAAATCCACCTACTACTGGCTCCCTCATCAAAGGCTTTTGGAAAAGAAAGACAATAGAAATCGCACGTGTCTAATATAGTTAATGTCGCAGTCATTCTATGCACAGATATAGAGATAATCTCGTTTGCCACTTTAAAACACGCAACATATAATTGCGTCTTTATATTAGTGGTCATTCAAATTGTATACAGTACACAGAAAAAAAATGGTTACTTGGTTATCACATGATAAAACTATTTGTATTTTTTTTTAAAGACGGCAGTAAAGCTTACTACTGTACTTGTAAGTAACCAAGTATATATATATATATATATATATATATATATATATTTACGCTGGTACGCAACAGTTCGCAGTATCTGCACCTTTTTATGCATCATTTCTTCTACCATATTGTAATGTATACTCTTTCGTGAGTACCAGAAAAATTTGACTAAAAAGCTCAACAAAGTGGGAAAGAGGAAAACGTGCACAAAACAACACAACGCAACGTTTCGGCCAGGCAGCCTTTTTCAAACACAAGTGAAATACACAAACGAGGAATGGAGAGTATGTAGATCTCTAAGGGGTGACGTGAGCGACGTTTAAAAAATGTGATGCGGAATAAATGAAATAAAATAAAATAAACGATGGCTAAAAAATATATTCACAATACTGGGAATAAAAGAAATGCAAGTGTTAAAGATACATAAATGATATTGATAAGAAATAGAATATGGTAATAATATAAAATAATTAACATTTAAAATGTGATAAGATTAGAACTATTTAGATGAAGGTATGTTGGATATTGATACCTCTTGGACTAAGAACGCCAAGGCTGTGGATAAGGCGATTTTCCAAAGCGAGGCGGGTAGTATGATCGCCAGAGCAAGATTTTAATGCTGTGACAGATATGTCATCTTTACCGCTGTGGTCAGGGCTATTAAAATGAAGAGGGATTGGTTTGAGTGTCTTCTTGTCGATATCAGAGAGGTGTTCCCGGAAACGATCAGCTAGCTTCCTGCCAGTCTCCCCAATGTATGCCATGCTGCCAACGAAAAACACATAGAATGTTCATCACTGTCCCTTGTGGAAAGATTGACAGCTGCTGTCTCAGCATATCTAGCATACACACGCATTAAAGCATACATTAGTCATCTGAAGTGCTAACACAAACAGTGGGAAATTAAATCCGCAGCTCACAGTGTCACGCCATGCATTCAACTCAGAAGCTGGGCAACGAAACTATATCCAGTCTACAAATGGAGCAAAAATGCACCTGCCACCTTACGGCAGAAGCAAAAAATTTGCCTCGGCTCCAAAGAGTGCCCCTGCCTAGCGTACATTTTGACGTACACGCATGCATACATACATACACGCATACATATAAACACACATACATAACATATATACACACATATATCTTACACAGTGGCGTTCATTTCTCTCGAAGATAACATACAGTGACAGAATAATAAAGAATTCGGGCTATGGTAAGGAAGCACGATCAAAACAATAAATAAATCAAATTAGAAACTCGCAAATAGCAGCCTAATCTTACTTGCAGAATAATATCGCTTCAGTTTTCCTAAATAAACCGCAGACGCATATTCTTTTATGTTGTATCACAATCAACGTCACTGCACATTGAGCATTCCTATGTGTGCTCAGTTCTCCTATGCAGCAGCGACTCCAGGGTACCTATTCTAGCTGTTCACTTGAAAGGTTGGTTATAATGTCTCATATTTCGGGTCGAAGGTGGCGTAGACGTGCTTCACTATGCTTTACTCCCATGTCATGCAATCCTGTTAGTGTCAGAGACTTGTCATTATCCGCTAGCTCAGTCTGTTCAGTGCTGATTATATCTGCGCTAAAGGAATACATGTACAAGTAAAAGACGACTAGACAACCCTCAAGGTCACAACCTAACAAAAAATCAATATGTCTAAGGTATTGATTTTTCCCGATAAGAAATACTTTGACACATGCACGAAAGGCAAAGAGAAGGGAATATTAGTGGACATAAATTAAAACTTCTACAAGTTACGACATCATCCTACTAGAAGATCAAGGGCACTCCAACGTTTTCTTTTGAGCCAGAGAGACACATTTTCTAATTCACTGAAGCATGCCATGACACCCGTGGGCCCTATAATTCAATATAAAAGGGGTGGGCGAGGCAAGAGGGGATAACCTCGTTTCCGTTTATATTAAAAAAAGTAATAATATGGCGTAGCTGGTTAAATTGGATCTGTCGGCGAAAGGTTACTGTTGGACACCCACCGTCTTAGTTTTTCTGCTTATTTTATTTAAAGCCACCAAGACCAGATGTAAAATTATTCTGTATTTGTTTTAAAATATTACAATGGAAGGAGGTACTACACTAAGTTTAACAGACGACGATGAAGATGAATTTGACGACGAACCGCTGCCCGAGTTGTCGGGGACATTGTGTAAATGGACAAACTATCTTCACGGGTGGCAGGATCGCTACATTGTGTTGAAGGATAACACCATTAGTTATTATAAATCAGAGGATGAAATAGCTTTTGGATGTAGAGGAGCTGTGTCACTTTCCAAGGCTAGTGTAACGGTGAGTTGTTTATGCATAAATATCTGATATTTATGTGTTGATTAAACAGGGAAGACCAAAAGAAACTCTCCGTAGAACCATCACAAGGGAGAGCTCAACCATAGGTCTCAGTCGCACTCAAGACCTACATCAAGTGGCAAAGAACCGACAGACGTGGAAAGCTATGACCTCTGCCCTATGCGCCATCTTTGGCACAAGAGGAATAACTAACTAACTAACTATGTGTTGATTGTGATTGTCCGTTGCCCACTTTCGTGGTACGACGGTGATCCGTCCCGGCGAACCACCTGTTAACAACTACGTCATGATATTGTGACATCGCGGTTGACTTGATTGTTGTTATTAATAACTAATTACTGATAAGTTATTAAGATATCCCGATATATCCTAAAAATGGAAGCAGTCCGCCTATTGTTCAGTAAAGGAAATCCCGGACTTATTGAGAAAATGTTAGTAGTAAGCAAGTTATCATAATCATCTCATCCGTAACATTGAGTGTCGTTAGGAGGTCACTTTGTTGGTCAGATGCAGTTGACCATGTTTGCATGCCTAAGGCCTGTTCAGTCAGTCAAGATCTCCATCTAGGACCTTCTTGGTCTGCCTCTTCATCTCTTCCCCTCTACTATCGACTATGCTACTATATGTCCATACCATTGTATTGATTTTCCGCCTGTCACTATGTTTAGTGTACTTGCTAACTAAACAGTACATTTAAAGTCAGTAATCATTACTGTAATGCGAATATCTGGGCTAATATGCAGTATTGGCAGGATTTCTCACTTTACGAATGGATATTACACTGATTAATACTAGGTATTCTAATCAAGAAGGTGACCTACTTTAAAACGAAAGTAGAGATCGCTTAGTTACAAGATGGAGTCGTTGGTCCACGAAAAATGGCTCCTTTGCGTATCAGTTACTATGAAAACCCGTCGCTTAATACTGGCTGTTCTGAATCGAATACATGGGCTCAAAGTTATTCAGAAGAGGTCGCTCTACAAAACGACACCTAACTTACGTAGCGATCTTTGCTCAGCCAAGTAAATTTCACTATTTGCCATGCGGGAATTAAATTTCTTTAATATCTCCTTTTTAAAGTGAATATAAATATTTTTAGTTGACATTTTTGGATTCTGTGTCTATTTTTACATAAAGGTGGGTAGTTTTGTTGGAATCTGTACAGGACGAAGTTGAAAGTTTGAATTTGTTTCCAATCGTGTCTTGAGAGCTAAATCGGAGATGTTTCAAAATGGCCGCCACGTGGTCTAAACGAACTGATTGATTAATATCTAGTTATTTATAAAAACAGTAAAAAAATAATGCAAGTTTTATTTCTATTAATCATTTAACTGTCTTTAACTTTCATTTGACATCAGTTATAATAGTTTTAAATAGCTGAAAATAATGTTTTAGCACGTTTTTGACATGGACCATTTGGCTAGGGTATTTTGAGTGTTGAAAATGGACACAGACATTGGTTTGAACATTTTTTAATATACTTTAAAATCACATTAAAGTAGTTTTTAAATCATTTTTGGAATCTTTAGCCATTATAGAATTTTTTAAGCCATAACCTATCATTGGGCATGAAGGACCTTACCTGTTTAAGGCCTTTTTACCTGCTGACCCCCACTCTCCGCTCCCAGATTGACATTTTAAAAATGTCTGCCATATATTTCTGCACTATGATTTTGTGGTGCATTTTTATTGTCTTAGATAGTATAACAAGTACTATTTATGACTGATACTATGTATTAGTATTAAAATTGTAGTTTTTACTTCCTTAGATTTTAGATATGCTTATTTAGAAAGTTGATGATTAATGAAATTAATAATAAAATATAATTTGTTTAACTGCATAAGTTTACTTAATTACAGCTAGGGCTACTTACAACTTATGATTAATAATATTTGATCATTTTTTTTTATATATATATATATATACTAATATATACTAGCCAGCAAACAGATCACGTGGGACATAGATACTTTAAAAAAATAAAATGTTATTTTTCCTCTTACCTTATGAAATCCTGCTCCATGAAAACACAACATAAATTCATAAATCCAAAGCGAATCACAAAGGAGCTTATTTAATAATTTTACTCCATGAAAAATATAGCACTGAATCACAAATCGGGCGGTTACCTTAGATTATTTTGAACAAGTAAATAAAATATCGAGCTGTGACTAGTTAAGAAGAAGAGGGGAACACTATGGTGAAATGTCCTCATCATCAATAAAATGAAAGAATAACTCGCAAAGACTGAAGAAAGGATTATGTTAAATCAGTAAGAGGGGCTCTCATTTTCACTTGGTTATAAAACAATATGGGGGTCTCCGTAGCAAAGTGGTCAAGCCATTAACCTAGCGCTCAGAAGGTTGCGGTACGTTCACTGCGTTGTTCAACTAAAAAATGAATTTTTTTGGTTAGCGGAGACCTCTGAGGGCTGTTGCTGGAGCTACGGTATTCAGGCTTCGTGCTAAGCTCTTAGCATGCGCTAGCCGTTCAGTTATGTGGAGAAAGACCAAGCCATACTAAACCAGTAACGATGCAATGAAGTCAATCCACTTGCTATTGAACATTTTTTAAACAGTGGAATAAAGCAAATTTCGGTCAGATGTATGCACACACACACACACACACAAGTGACAGTGCGAAAAAAAAGCATTATTCAACAAACAGAAAGAGATGCATCATAGCAGGAAGAATAGTTACAAAAGTATATATATATATTTTACAGTATACGTCTTGCAAGACTCACTGAATAATAATAATAAATTCATAAGGTATTTAATGAATACTGATAAATTGACTCATTTTTATGTTATTTAGGTTTGCATCACATCATATTTTTTAAAAGGCAACAACTTTAGTTAGAGCTTGCTGTCCTGAAAGCAATGACATATGGTTGCTAAGGGGTTCAGCCAAAAACTTGAGAGTTATTGACATTAAACATGATAAATTTAGGTCCAGTTTTCACTTGGGAACATGCCGCCATCTTGTTTCTGTGTTTTCCATTATAATTTTTTGGGGGCACTTTCCGTCACTGAAATGTGAATATCTCCGCTTAGAATTGACATACAGACTTCATTTAGGTACCGTTGGACTCGGGTTTTCAACCTCTATTCAGCTGTCTTGGTTTAAAAGTAAAAAACCCAATTTTTAAATTTTGACTAAAATACCTATTAATACACTTCTTAACAAATGGTATTATTACTACAATAAGGGATCCATAGAACCAGTTAAATGAAACTTTAACTCTAACATAGGTAACTTTCAGAATTTTCTCAAAGCTGACTAGACGGGAGAGTGGAAAATATAACTAACTATGCCAGTTACTGGTCATGCTGTATATACATGTGGGGGAGAAAAGTAAAATGTCATCCCACTGCAGATACTGCAAAGGAGGTGTCAAATGTTAGACTTTCACATGCACTGTGATGTACTACATCAGTGCTATTTGACAGGTGGCCTGCAGGCCAAATCTGGCCCTCGGAGGCCTAGCAAGTGGCTTGCTGATAATTTTGACAGGTGTGTTGTATTAATGATCTTTCTATGCTGAGGCTCATGCCTGTAGCCCATGATGAACCTCGTTTTCAAAATTGTGGCCCCTGGGTAAACTTAGCCTTGTACTAGACCATGTGCGGAATAATGTGGCTAATTTCATTCATAGTGTAGCATAGCTCCCTTTACAGAAAAGTTAGAAAATTGTATAGCATCTATTTTAGGACAGGTTACCCCCACAGTTATACTAGTTAAGAGACATTCTGCTTGTGTACCTTAACTCTGGTGGGCTCTGGTTAAATTAGTTCTACTTTACTTTTGCAATTTAAAAAATTTTTTTATTATTTTATTTTTTAATAATCCAAGCTTTATATTTTGCCCCCCCCCCCCTCCCCCACACACACACACACACTCTCAAAATAATTGGGCTATCCTCCGAATAACGGTCCTAAATTATCGAGGCGGAAAATATACCCTAACAGGGCCTCAGTCACGTGTCAGTTGCGCACTTCCGGGGACTGCAACATCACAGCCGAAGTGCGAACTTCGGGTGACTTCCGCCACCGCCGAAAGTATCCCCCACGCCGCTCATGTGGCGTAGTTTGGGGCTAAACTCACGAGCATAAAAAATGAAGGAAACTGCAGGAGATGCGGTAGCGGCTGCTTGTGAGTCCCAGCAATCTAGTTTAGCCCCAATCCATGCCGCTCATGCATCGTGGGGGATACTCTCGGCGGTGGCGGATGTCGCCGGAAGTGCGCAATTTAATACAACGGAAGTGTGCAATTCACATGTGACTGAGGCCCTGCTAGGGTATATTTTCTGCCTTGATAATTTAGGACCGTTATTGGGAGGATAGCCAATAATTGTATTATTGATTTGTTCCTAATGCCTTTAACCAACAGTGTTTTGTGCCCACAGAAGTATGTCTGTACTCAACTTCTAGCTGTTGGTGCTTACAAAATATTATTATCATACATTATTCCGTAATATTATAATTTCTGTCATATCATACATTGTCGATTTTTATGTTGAGAAATGTGTCTCTTGAGTTTCAAGTTAATTTGTGTTTATGAGCACTTAGCTTGAGGACACTACTGCTTCACATTTGTTGTTAAGTGCTTTGGTCTGCTTCCTTCCATTTGTTTCACACAATCCCAGAAAGCCAATCTTATAACATTTTAGGTGTCATTTCTAAAGATTTTCTCGGGCAGTTAAAACTTCACAGCTTTCTCTGCATGACTTCAAACCTATTTTCAAAGAAGAACCTCCTTTTGTCTTTTTTTTATCAACCTTTTAAGACATATTTATGATTGGCTGGGTTAGCCTACTTACATTTTCTATGAGATGGGGTAAAGAGTCCCTTACCAACCTTTCTTGATTGCCTGTTATGGCATACATGGTGGGTTATACTGTTTTTTGTTTTGTTTGTTTGTTGCCTCCCTTAACAGCCCAGACAGCACTTGTGAGTGCATAGCTCTAGTGATCCTTGAATCCGTCTAAGCAAAGTCCTTTCCTTTTTCGTAATATACATTCACGTTTTCCTTGATATGCTTCAGTGACCCCACTGTCATCTTACACTTATAAATAAATTACAGATCGGGTGGCTAAGACAACATAGTTATCATTGTTCCTGCGCATGGAGAAAGTCACCTCTGTATAATACATATGTTTGCTTATCATAGTCGCTCTAAGTGAAACAATAGATAGTTGTATGTTTTATCCCTCACTGTACATCTATATATGTCAGCTGTAATAGCTTTAACTCTGGTACATAAATCTGCAGCACTAGAAGATACAGAGAAAAAAGTAAACAACCCCTTTCCACGCCTTCAGGCATATTGGGCATGTAGGGCTAGACCTATATTATATAGACCAATTGATACTGGTGGGTGATGTGGTCAGCATCATCTGGCCACCTTACTTCATAAGATTGCACCTGATACCCATTCAAGGTGGGTCGACCTGAGAGCAAAGGTTATTATTTTCTGGAAAGGGGGGGGGGGCACGTCTAGCTCTGCCAGGATCCGAACCCATGATCTTCTGGTTTGCAGGTGATCCTCTAGCCTCTACACTACTGTGGCTTTCTAATAGAAGCTAAAGTTTTCAAATAAATGTTATGGAGTACAAACTAATCTATTATACCAATTTGGGACAGAGTCTCAGTTACTGGTGAAATATAAGAGGACTTTGCTAAATTTACTTTGATCAGGTGTCAGTCAGTATCCTAAGAGTTCTGCAAAGGAATCAAGATTTATATCCAGTCTTGTCTTGCTATTATGTATGTGTTCTCACTTTATATTTACGCTTCAACTGATTAATTAGAATTAGTCAAATCACCTCCATGACTGTATTGGGGTTGTGCTGACCCTCCCAGCATATGTTTAATTGTAGAGATGGTTGATTGTTTCCACAGCACTGATTTATGAAGGTGTCAGTCCTAATTACTACCAGCAATAGAGATCATACTGCTACTGCCACTAGTTATTAATACACAAAAATTGTTTTTGTTTGTTTGTTTGGTGTATTATTTTTTCTGTAAGCCTTTAGTTGTCTGTTACAAATGATATTATAATTTCTTTGTCGAGAGCTAATGTGTTTTCAGCTGCAAAATCCAGCTAATCGGAAAAACTCCACAAAGTGCTTGGGTTGAGTTGGTCTTTGCTAAATTGGGAGATAAAGACAGAAAATGATCAGCTTACATTACCATACATTCAATACAGCTCAGCTATTAGCACAAACTGGTATCAGAGCCATAGGTGGGAAAAAAATAATTTCATATAGAAAAGGCTGATTGGCTGAAAGAAAGGAGCATGAAACAATATTTTGTGAAAAAAAAAAAAAGACACAGAATTGATATAGTGGTAGGTCATATTTTCTTTGCTGATGTTGTCAGCATCATAGCAGAAATTTTTATCTCATAAACTTTGAGAATGAACTTAGATCATCCTACAGCCATGTGGTCATCCACAAATTTGACCTCAGTTTATAAGCTCATTACTGGGCTCAGAGGTAAGAGCATGAGCATCTATGCTACTTAGCCTCTGTGAGAGTACATACTGGAAACAGTTATCACCATCATGCAATAAACAATCTGAATACAGTATTATTGATTGTCTGACATGCTTTATTCATAGACAATTCCACACTTATTTTTTAGCCCCACCAGTTTGATGAATGTCGCTTTGATGTCAGCGTTAGTGACAGTGTGTGGTATCTGAGGGCTTCTACGCCAGAGGAAAGACAAACGTGGATTGATTCTATTGAACTTCATCAAGTAATTATGAGTATTTTATTCTTCTTCTTGTCATACTTGAAAGCTCATTTGTGTTAAATATTTATGTAAAATATGGTGCCAACAACATAGATCTTCATGTTGTTTCATCGATTATAGCAAGGCATTTGATTGTGTCCAACATCAGAAATTATGAAGTATTATGGGAAGTATGGAATTTCCAGTGCATTTGGTGCATTTAATTGAAAATTTATGTCATGAACAAAAAGCAGCCGGTGAAACATCAGATTGTTTCGAGGTGCAAACAGGAGTGAGGTAGGGATGCATTCTCTCATCATACCTATTCAATATGTATGCAGAAAAGAAAAAAAGAGAAATGTCAAAAAATGATCAGACTTGTGACAGTTAGGAACTGCTCATAACTGGTGGCAACCCTATTCCAGAACTTTGCTGTGCAGATGACACAGTCCTCTTTTTGATCAATGTAAATTAAATAGACAATTTAAGCATGTCTGCCCAAGAACACACCGAAGATAAAAACCAGCTCTTGAATTTAAAAACAAAAATATTGTTTACAGAAAAAACTGGTTGTCACCCAGAAATAACAATAAATGACGGAGAAATTGATAATGTCACAAACTTTGAATATCTAGGCTCTATGATAAAAATCAATTTAGACTGTTCGACAGAAATCAAAAGGAGGATGGCCATAACAATGCAAAGATTAAACAGCATTAGATGTCTGTGGTTAAACATTAGCAAGGAAATCAATTTTACAGTTTTGAGAGCATCTTCCCTGTGGCAACATACGGATGTGAGTCATAGACTATCTCCATCCTTAAAAATTAAATAGGGGTTTTTGAGCTAAAATATTATAGAAAGATTCTCAGAGTACCATTGACAAAGAAGAGAAGAAATACTGATATTTTAAAAGATCTGAACATCAAGGAAGTTTGGCTGATAAACAGCATCTTGTCTCAGAAGCTGAAATATTTTATTCATATCAAAGGCCATGGCATTATTAGAAAAAAAATGATAGCAGAAAGCGGGATACCAAGAAGGAGGGACAGGGGCCGACCCGCGGGAAGATGGGCACAGGATATAAGTGACTGCTTGTATATAAAAGTACATGAGACGGGAGACTGCGTTTAAAAAAAAAAAGGCAGACCGTCATAAGTGCGACATTCTGCAAAGGACCTGCTATACGATGATGATGCTGCCAGCTTGTAATGTTATCATTGCTGTAGAAGATAAGTCCTGGTCTCATCTTGTGCTAGGCAGAGGATTCCTCTATAGGCACACTGGCTAGACCAACTCACCCAGTATGGAAACTGCTGTCACAGAAAAAAGTTTTAACCTACAAAAAGAAGTCTTGTCTTTACACCAGTTGTTCAGCATGCTGGACAGATTAAAAGATTAGTGGTGTCTGAGAAGAAACTGACCCATGAAGACAACTGATTGCCCACAATAGAGGGAGACAACCGACATTTTTTGGTAAATTCATGAGAAGGAGAAACTTGGGATAAATCATGACAGTGGGAAAGTTGGGGGGAAAGAGAGGTAGAGAGAGACAGAGAGAGAATATGCTAGACCGTGTGACATCATGGCATGAAGGACCATCCGTGTCAGAGTTGATTTAAAGTACATAAGACAGAAGGTTGTGGATAACATGACTACACATGGCATGGATTTTAAACAAGAAGAAGATAAGGTTAGAAGTACTTGATATCTGATATCTTTAAGTGCTACTCATATGGTTAAGTGTGATAATGTAAACCCATATAGCCTATGTTTAAATTTTGTTATCTGTGTATTGATGTCCTAATGTGCACTGTCTTTTTTGTCTATAACAGTGTTTCCCAATTAGGTAAGATCCACAGACCACTCTTATTTTTTGAAGGTCTGCCATGCACACCCTACTTTTTAATAGTAAAGTTAAGGACCCTTTTCCACAGGCATATAGGGCTAGACCTATATTTCATAGACCAGTTGGCACTTGGTAGGTGGTGTGGTCAGCATCATGCCGGCCGCCTCTACTTCCCATATCATTGAACCTGGTACCCACTCAAGGCTGGGTTGACCTGGAAGCCAAGGTCATTTTGAAAAATGTCCGGCTTCATCAGGAACCTGAACCACTACTTTCCGATTCGCGAACGAGCATCTAACGGCTAAACCATAAACAGGGCTAAAGTTTTTTTTCTAATTGATATCACAGATCAATTAAATTTGTTCTGCAGGCCATAAGTTGGGGAACCAATGGCCTATAATATATTATTGCCATTTCCCTCATTTTCATCCACCATTGTGACTTATAAATTTTTTTTTATAATGGACTCTCAGAATGTCAATGCAGGCTCATACTTTACAGCTAGTTGAAATATTATAATTGACTCAGAATGTAAATGCAGCCTCACCCTTTACAACTTGTTTAATTTTGAATGAAGAATCATCACCACAGCACTCCCATAAGCGCTCCTTCTTCATCTTCAGCAGCAGATGAAAAGCTCCAGTTTCAGTGGTACCAGTAACTGTCTGATTGTATATCATTCTCGCCTTTCAATTGAGTGTTGAGTATCGGCCAGATCCTCATATTATTACAACTAGTTAAATCTTATAATTGACTCTCAGAATGTAAATGCAGCCTCACACTTACACAGCTAGTTAAAATAAAATTAACTCTCAGAATGTAAATGCAGCCTCACACTTACACAGCTAGTTAAAATAAAATTGACTCTCAGAATGTAAATGTAGACTCACACTTACACAAATAAATAAAAATATTTTAATTGTATTTCAGAAGATAAATCTAGCATCACATATACTAATCTAGTTCAGATATCAATGTTCCCAGTGGTTTCTGAAACCTTTTTTTTTCTTTTATTTCAGCAGGCAGACTCTGGTTATGGAAGTGAGAATAATTTGCGTCGCCATGGTTCCATGTTGTCACTGGCCTCTGGGACTAGCCTGTCACAAGCTTCTGCTTCATCATTTAAAGTAAATAATTATTTTACTGGAGAAGGTTCCTTAATATTTATTTGTGATTGCTTTTCTTCTTTATCTTTTAAGACATAATGGAGGGATAAAACATGGTTAAGAGGTCCAGCCTCCACCTTTAACTCACTAGATTTGGTATACTTCCTGCCCTATACCAGGTAGTGGATCTCACATCTAACCTTCTTGGATAAGGTTGAAAAACTAGGATTACTTTGTGTGCATTGTTTACATCTTAAAAGTCGACTAATTGGGACCTCCTTTGAAGTCAGAGTGCATCTGCCAGAGCGGCAAGAAGCAACCAACTGCACACAAATAAGCCAGTAAAATGAATGCACGCGCAAAACTCAGGCCCTGGCACAAAGCCAAAGTGCAAATGGACAAACAACCAGGACTTTCTGACTGAGCTTACAGCCAGTGAACAAAGAAGAAGAAGAAGAAGAATGTGTCTAATAATGCACTATCTTCTATGTCTTATAATTGTTGCTACTAATGGTTGCTGGTTGCCTAGACATTTCTCTTATTTCTTCACTTCTCCCATTTTATATTCTCCAGCCACCATGTCTTTATGATTATTATAGTAAACATGAAAAGAATGGTAAGGAAAACTGGAACATGTAGGAAAACTGGAACAGTTCGTGACCACTGGAAACATTTGTGGAAGAACTTGATAAAAGAAGACCATGCAAGAAGTTTCTTGACAACCTTTTGTCCTGGCATGCAGGGCTGTCAATGCATGAGCTGATGAAGGCTGGTGGAGGGGCGTGATTTCCCATACCACTTAGCTAAGCACTTGATGCTGATATACTGTCTTTTGTAACTAACACCTTGAATATGAAACAGTTATTAGGTTGTCACACAGTAGGTGAAGGCAACACTAAAACTCACCAGCTACCTCCCAGGGAGATGAGGTTAGAGCCTGAAGTATTGATCTTGTTGGATGACTTGATATATATCGTACAGCCTGTGCTTTAAAAAATATATCATTTACAGTAGTACATTTCAGATGTGTGTAATCACTGGTGTGGGTGTATGTGTGAGAAAAGGATAGAGATAATATATGTTTGTGCATGGGAAAGAGTGTTAGGTAGGTGCATATGTGTGTGTGTATATGATTAGTTGTTTTTATACAGTTTATATGAAGTGTAGTCTGAAAGGGGATTTAATGTGAAAATACTGCTGAGGTTGTAAAAAGGTTGGTATATTTAGAGTTAGGTGTCTTGTTAAGAGTTATTGTGTGGTTATTATGAGGTTGAGTACTTTGAATTATTAAGGAGCTTAAGGTGGCGTGGTAGTGTAGTCTGAACAACACTGGTTTGAAGTTTGGTTTCAGATGGTTATATTGGTATATTTGTTTGGTTAATACAACTGTAAGGCTAAAACATGCAGCCTTTCCAATAGGTTCTGGGGCTCCATTTTCAGTGGAAGAAGGAATAGACACAGTGCCCCTTTCACAAGCATAGCACAGAATTTGACTGATGAGGGGTGTTTATTTCAAAATCAGAGTGTGTCTGTTAGAGAGTTGAGGAACCAATAGGCTGCACACAGATAAACCAGATTTATAAAATGGATGAGCACACAAACCCGAGTTCTAGAACTAGACAAAATCCCAGAAGTGGATGAACAACAAGAGCTTCCCACCAGTGTTTACAGCAGGTGAATGCTAAGGAAAAAAACAAACATGCTGACCAGATATAAGACAAGATTGGGAGTGTGTGTGTATATATATATATATATATATATATATATATATATATATATATATATATATATATATATATATATATATATATATATATATATATATATATATATATATATATATATATATATATATATGTTTCTCTGTTGAGCACTCCAGCTAATTTTATGCCATTCTTCTTCTGCTTCTCCCTCCTCCTCCTTCTGTCTGCGCTTTATGCCCCAGTAGAGCAACTGCATTAACCATTTTGTCCGATCTTCTACTGTCGTGCATAGTTCACCCCATATCTCCCTGTCCCCCCCCCCCCCCCCCCCACCAACTTCACCCTCTAATTCTTTTATCCATGTGTGTTCCATTATTCTATGACCCTGTGGGTCTAGTGCAGGGATATTCCAGTGTATTGTTACCAGTTTGTGCCATTTGGTTGTGAAGAACCTGAATCTAACACAAATAAAAATAGTAGTAGTTGGCGTCTTTGACTTGAGCGTTGTGAACATGGTTTGTAATTTCAAGATACCTTATCCGAAACCCAGCACCATAGTCTCAGTAACCCTTAGTAATATATATGTTTATAAACAAATACATATGTTTAAAAAAATGATTAAGCTTCTTTTAAATTGTTGTTTTCAGCGGGGGCGTGGGTTGAAAGAAAAGCTGGCTGAGATGGAAACATTCAGGGATATTTTGTGTCGACAAATTGACACGCTTCAGAGTTACTTTGATTCTTGTGCATCTGCTGTTATACATGGAGCCCACAATGAATGTAGGTTTGTTAAACAACAGTAAGCTAGAAAAAAAAGAACATTATTGTCATATATGAATGAAGTTTGTTAATGATAAATAATAAGTACAGTGTTTTTATATGGGCCCTGTTTCGAAGGGAATGAGTAATTGACCTAAAGATTTTTGCAGCCTAACATCATTTTTGTTTTCTGTGAATAAAGAATTAACATGTGTGCTTTTTTAATATTTTTATTTTAAGGGGACAAATTGGCAACTATGAACCTCAGAAACTGATGGTATGGACCTGTATTAAGATCTACTGAGCTTTCCAAACTGATACTACAGGGCTGTGTAGAGGGGAGGAGGAGAATAGCCAGACCAAGAAAAAAAAAAAACAACAACCTTGATATAGAATCTGGCTGAATGAAGAGGCATCAAACCTGCAAAAAAATTCATTGCATCTGACATACAGAGGTGAAGAGAACTGATCAGTCAGACTACAACAGCTGGTGGCCCATCAATGACGCTTGGTGTTTTTGGACTAAGATGATGCTGGACAGATGTTTGGAGTGGTCCATTTATTTTATTGTCGTATTTAATGTGAATGTTATGGCGTGCATTGTTTGTTACACTGTTGTCTATTCTTTGCTTCCTTCATGGGCACCATTAAGATATGGTCAGTGACTGACTTTGATGAAGTCTTCTTCTTATATATAGTTTATGTCATGTGGCATTGATAGGCATGCCTGTTCCAACCTTCTGTTTTGTATACTTTCAGTCAGTTCTGGCACAGATGATCTTCTTCGTTATGCCAGACTATCCAGCAGCTTCTCTCTCGGTTCCCCCTGCTTTTTTTTTTCTCTTCAACCTTCCCACCATCACAGTGTTTCCAGTTTTGTCTTTTTCATGACATGAACAAAGAATGTAGATTGCATCCTTTTGATGTTGGCATTCAGTTTTCTTCTTTAGTTGGTTTCTTTCAAGACATCTTCTTTACTCTTTTTATCTGTCTATCATTTGTCTGTAAAATTACATCTGCAGCTCTTCCAAATAATTTTTCACTTATCAACTTAATTACTAATTACTAATTGTTTTGGGAGTCTTTGTGGTGTGGTGGCTAGATGCTCACCTGTGGATCGGAGGGTCGCAGGTTTGGGTCCTGACAGAGCCGAACTTTTTAGAAAATGACCCTGGCTCCCAGGTCAACCCTGCGTTGAGTGGGTACCAGTTTTAGTCTTGGGAAGTAAAGGCTGCTGGCATGATGTTGACCACATCACCCACCGAGCACCTGTTGGTCTATAAAATATAGGTCTAGCCCTATATGCCATTTTGCCTGATGACATGGAAAATGGTCCTTTTACTTTAAACATTTTTTTTTTAAATGTTAAACTGTTGGTATCAGATTGGTAGTTTTGTTTGATTTCAGTATCTGATGACTCTGATGATGATCTGGACAACCCTCATGCTCCCTCCTTACATGATGTACATTTGCTCAGACCTGTGGAACTAAAAGGCAAGGACCTTGGTAAGTGTTTATGATTATTTATGTTTATTCAGTGGATCAACACCATGGCACACAGATGTAACCCATAAATGCTCCGTTATACTTTTAACTCAAGCCTGAGTCTGAAGAATCTCAATGCATTGCACAAACTTTGATGCACCGGAATCTTCTCTCGTTGTCTTCCTCTATCCCTCCTTACACAGATCTTTCCAGTGATCACATCATGTGCCATTTCCCCTCTTGTCATAACATGGTCAAAAAATGGTGACTGTCTCTTTCTGATGTCTGTGATAAGTTGTCTTCGGGCTCCCGCCTCTTTAAACACCTCTTTTTTGGCTGTCCAAAGTATTTTAAGAATTCTTCTGTAAAACCACATATCTGACGCCTCAAGAAATTGTTTGGCCTGCATACCGATTGTCCAGGACTCACAGCCATATGTTAAAATTGGATGTATGTAGCAACCAAGAATTCTTGTTTTAACTTTCAATGACAGAGATATATTGCATAAGATGTTCTTCATTTTACAAAATGCAGTTTTTGCCTGTCCTATTCTGTTTCTTATTTCAGTAATGCATCTTCCATCTGATGTTATCCATGTGCCCAGATACTTAAATTTATGTACTTGCCCTAAAATAACACCATCGACTTTTATTACACATTTAGGAATAATTCTGTTTTTTTGATACCACCATTACTTCTGTCTATCCGTTATTCAAACTGAGGCCCGTTCTTCCATTTTCTACCACCACAATATCTCTCATTTCCTGTAGTTATTTCTGACCTGTTGCTATCAAGACTGTGTCATCAGCATAAGGTAAATTTTTTATATTATGCCCACCAGCCCCAATTCCGCGCATATCAATTAAAGATCTCATTAAATATTCACTTTTAAGTGACAATAAATCAGGTGACAGTGCACATCCTTTGTCCTACGCGCCCCCTTTATGCACTGAAATGTACATAAACAGTTGTTAATTCTGATAGCTGCTGTTTGCTGCCAATACATATTCTTTATTATTCATAGATGTTTTCCATCAATGTTTAATTTTTTCTAACAGTTTAAAAACTTCATGCAGTCAAATGCTTTTGTATAGTCTATGAAGCATAAGTACAAAGCAGTCTTTACTTCTATACCTCTTTCTGACAATGTCTTTAGGATGTATATGGCATATTTTTTAACCTTTTTCTTCTACAAATCCACACTGTTCATCGCTGATTTCTGGTTTAATTTTTTTTTCTTATTCTTCTCATAATTATTCTCAGTAACATCTTAGTCATGTGACTCATAAGACTTATTGTGCACTGGTCTCTAAATTTTAAAGTGCCTGGTTTCTTTGGCAAAGCTATAAATATGGATTTTAAAAGGTCATTTGGAATATACCCACTAATATAAATATTATTTAAAAGTTTAGTTATTATTTCAATTCCAAAATCTCCCAGTGCTTTGATTTCTTCCAGTGAGATGTTGTCTGGCCCAGGTGCTTTTCCTTTCTTCATGTGATGTAATGCATCATTGTTGGCCTGCAATTCTATATCTGGTCTATTATCATCATACAATTCATCTATATACCCTGTCCATCTGTTAATTATATTACTATGTCCTATTAATAAGTTGCCATCTATTGATTTAAAACATCCAGTGCTGTTACGTGTCATCTTTCCTGTTAACATATTAATCTGTGCTACATGAAATGTGAGTTTTTCCCATCATTTTCCCCAACCTCTACACATTTGATTCAGCCAGGCTTCTTTAGCCACTTTGCATTTGTTTACTGTTTCTGTTTGTATTCTAGAGTATTCTTCTTTATCATTCTTTTTCTTCCTTCATTCATCCATCAACTGCAGAATTTCGGTTGACATCCGTTTGTTTTTTGTGATGTCTGCTGAATTGACTCATGCAACATATCTCATTGTTCATCAATAGCCTGTAATTTCCATTGCATTATGCCGGTTTTGTACAGTGGCATTGTACTGTTCCTTAATTTCTTTATTTGTTCTAAATATTCCGAAATTAACTTGATGTTCTGTGGTGTTTTATTCTAATCTTTCCTATAACTGGAATATGATCACTAAAGCAGTTTGCTCCTGATTAAGTTTTTGCTCCAACTAAGCTGCTCTGGAATCTTCTTGAAATCAAAATAAATAAATCTGATTGTGGATCTTCTCTCTCTCTCTCTCTTTCTCTCTCTCTCTCTCTCCTCTCTCTCTCTCTCTCTTTCTTTTTCTCTCTCTCTTTCTTTTTCTCTCTCTCTCTCTCCTCTCTCTCTCTCTTTCTTTTTCTCTCTCTCTCTCTTTCACACACACACACACACGAGATATATATATATATGAGTTTCAAGACCAAGTGGATAAAGTCAGCAGGTAGATTTCAGAGCATTGTTTAGTTATTAACATTAAAAAAACAAAAACTATGGTAATTAACAATAGAAAAGAGCGACTAACAGTGAAAATCGTAGTAATCGGATGGATATCAGAATAAGTAACAGATGTGAACATTACCGTTTAAAGATAAACAACACATTAAAAATGAGAATGATCACATGTTACGTATACTCAACTATGCTGTATGGTGCAGACACTTAGACAATAAACAGGAGGTGAGAAAATAGAATTCAGTCTCTGGAAATGTGCATACAGAAGAATAGGTCATATTTCATGGAAACAGAAACAGTAAAATATAGAGTTTCTGGAGGATTTGGGAATGAAAAGAGAATTACTGAAAGAAATTAAAAAAAGAGACAATTGAAATATTTTGGCTACATTAAAAGACATAATTCGCCTTTGAAAACCATACTGGAGGGAACTAAGGCAAGAGAGCAAGAGGTCGACAATGATAGAAGTGGGAGGACTGCATCAAGAGATGGAGGAACTGCAGTTTAAGCGGTTGTAAAACCAAGACTAGCGATAGAGCATGTTGGAGATTCATTGCAGCCAACCGTCATTTTGGAGGCCGCATCTAATGTATGTATATATATATATATACACACACACACACATATACAATAATAAAAATATTACATTTTGTAAATATAATTTGCTCCTTTGAGATTTGGAAAACAGACTACAGTTTATTGATTGATTGTTTTCAGCTTCTGTTCTTCAGCAGCATGGCGGTCACTCCATTGATTTCAAAGGTGAAGCTCTCACATTCAAGTCAACCACCTCAGGAATAATTGCTACTCTTTCCCATTGCATTGAGCTGATGGGCCAGAGGGAGGAAGCATGGAAGAAGAAAGTGGACAGAGTAAATATTTTGTGCCATTGCTTCTAAGTTTGTTAATAAAGAATGTTGATGAATATTTGTGAGTACTGTGATTAGGGTGAAAAAATTACTGTTGACTGCAAATTCATATATTGCTTTACAAGATAAATAAATGGGCAAATTAAATTTATAAATGAGTTTAAACACATATAAATCACATAAAAAAATATCTTTCACATAAAGCATGGAATGAAAGTTAAATGCATTTGAAAGCAAATACCTGAAGAAAATGGGGAAAATAAACTGGGATGAATTCAAAAGGGAGTGATGAAATAAAGGAGTGAAGAAATAACAGAAATGTCTGAAAATCACATAAATGGTTGACCAAGCAGGTGCATATTGCTTAAAAAAAAGTACAAGAAATTTGTAATGCATTTTGGATTTAGTATTACTGCTCAACCTCAAGAAATTTTTACTTTGAGTGTTTTCTTGAAATGTTGAAAATATCTGATGTTTAATATTGTTATATTATAGACATTTTTATTGTTACAGGAGGTTGACAAGCGAAAGAAGTTTGAGGAAGCATATAAAACATTATTATCTGACAAGACAAAGAAATTAATATTAGGTGGCCCCGATTATGAGGTAAATAAGTTTGTAACTTATGTTGTAAATGTGCTTGTAACAACTTTATAGTTTTATTCATGGAGATATTTTTCCCCAAATTTTCTTGGTTGGAACTAGCAAGCATAGCCTGAGGCCAGCAGAATGATTTAAGCCTACTGACTATGGCTATTTATGTGTGTTGATTCTTACATAAACACATTGATGCACTGATTTAAGATTCTTTTAATATGATCTAAAGGAGTAGGTTTTATAAATGTGTGTGTGTGCGCACATACATGCATATGTGTGTGTATATATATATACACACACATACATATATATGTCTGTGGCTTAGGCGTTGCGAGCGCGTTTCATAATGCAGGGGTGTCGTGTTCATGGAGTAAATTTGAGTACCACTAACACCTCCCCCCCCCCACACACACACATACACACATACATATATATGTCTGTGGCTTAAGCGTTGCGAACGCGTTTCATAATGCAGGGGTGTCGGGTTCATAAAGTAAATAAGAGTACCACTAACCATATATATATATATATATATATATGGGGTTAGTGGTACTCTAATTTACTCCATCATCTTGGCAAGTATAACTCTCCCTTGGATGGCAGCTGGAAAAAATATCAACAGCCTAGGTAAACCTGGAGAAGGATTGTAGGTAGCGAAATTGAAAAAAAAATGTAAACTGACATGGGATACCTTTGATAGAGAAGTAGCTGAACAGCAATTGACTAACAATTCTTTCACATCTTCCCACTATTTTTAATTTTAATTCTATCAGATTTTCAGTCACTTTTATCACTAATGCTACTAGGACATTTCAAAGTTTACTGTGATTGTCAGAGTTGAGTTGTAAATGTTATGCTAAAAGAAAAAAAATTTTTATGTTGAACGCAGTACAGAAATTTACATGCTCACTCCGAAGCATAATGTTTCTTTTTTGCAGGAAGGACCACACTGTTTGATACCAGAAGATGAATTTTATGATGCAGTAGACGCAACTTTAGACAAATTGGAAAAGGAAGAAGAAAAGGTTTGTCTTTATGTCAACAGTAACATTGGAGATGTCAGAATACATATTGTATCTTATTTTTCGCATTCACCAGCTGTAAACTTTGAAGAATGTTGTGGACTTTAGTCTTGTTTCAGAACTTTGTGCATATCCATTTTACAGATCTGTTATACTCTTTTAACTGTGCTACTTCCAGCCTGTCTGTTATACTCTCTTAACTGTGCTACTTCCAGCCTGCCTGTTATACTCTCTTAACTGTGCTACTTCCAGCCTGTCTGTTATACTCTCCTAACTGTGCTACTTCCAGCCTGCCTGTTATACTCTCTTAACTGTGCTACTTCCAGCCTGTCTGTTATACTCTCTTAACTGTGCTACTTTCAGCCTGCCTGTTATACTCTCTTAACTGCTACTTCCAGCCTGTCTGTTATACTCTCCCAACTGTGCTACTTCCAGCCTGCCTGTTATACTCTCTTAACTGCTACTTCCAGCCTGTCTGTTATACTCTCCCAACTGTGCTACTTCCAGTCCATCTGTTATACTCTCTTAACTGTGCTACTTCCAGTCCATCTGTTATACTCTCTTAACTGTGCTACTTCCAGTCTGATAACCCTACGTTCTCATGGCACAAAGAATGTTGTATGAAGACGGTACATAGACTTTCTTGTTCTGGCGCTGACCCATAGAAGACATTTTTTTTCCAGTTTAGCATTTTTCTTTCTGATTTATTGTGCTTTTGACTTTGGTTTGCTGTCACGTGTGATTTGCATTCTTGTAAAGCTGACACTTTAACTTTTCAGTCTTATTAGTTAAACATGAAAAAAATGTAATCACCACAGTTCTGTCAAAAAAAAATTACAGTTATACTAGGACAAGTTTGATGTTAGGAAAATGGGTTGTCCTAATACCCTGTCCACTTAATGACAACTAAGGAAGACTTTTTTCAAGAGTTGATATACACCAACTTTGATCTGCTTAACTTGTATTTCTTGAATATATTCAGAGATGTGGTTTTATAGAATTATAACGCATAAATTATGAGTTGTGATCAAAGGTGTTATACAAATATATTACTAGAATTTGATGTAAACAGAGAACACTGATTGTCCAAAATCAGACAATCCTCATTCTTTTATTGTTTAATGAGAACATGGGAAAATCGGAGTATGCTCTTACAGTGTGAAAGTTAAAGGAAAGAAATTCAGACAAACACTTTGGTAGATGTTGGATATTTTGGAATCATGAAATAACATCTATAGAAGAAAGGATTGATAGTAGATGTTACAAAAGGATGTGGACAGATATGATTAGCAACACCGTATGGCATGGATTGTTAGAAGAAGAGGTGACAAAATGTTGAGGTACACTGTTTTAGACATTTAACATATTACAGTTCTATGAATTGTTAAACAAGGTGAAATCAATGTTTTTTAATATTTCCAGAATGTTCTTTTTTACATGTTAATGAAATATGTGAGGTTATGAATCTAAATTTATTCTACAGAATTACAATTTTATTTTAAATTATATTCTTTTCTCATTTAGAAGAGAAATGTAGAATCCCCAAGCAAGCCAGGACATACCATATCTTTGTCACCATCACATCACTTTTATAATGAGGTCAGTAAACTTTATTATTTATAGCAAAATTAGCACATTATAATAATGTTCAGTAAGCAATATATGTTGCTCTACCTTTCTTACTTGTGTCTAATTACATTTTTGACCATCATTTTTTAACTCTTTCTCTTTCTCTCTCCCTCTCCCCACCCCTCTCTCTCCCTCTCCCCCTCCCTCTCCCCCTCTCTCTCCCCCCCCTATCTATCTCCCCCCTCTCTCTCTCTCTCTCTCTCTCTCTCTCTCTCTCTCTCTCTCTCTCTCTCTCGCCTCTGACTATGTTCAGTCTAACTAAAACATGTCAAGGTTTTTGCTGTTTGGTTCATATCCATTGACCTGTTTAACCTGGAGACCCTTTGTGTAGTTACTCTAACATTGCCATTGTGTCTTGGATGGGAAGGGTTCCAATGGGTTTCTAAGCTTCAAAAATTAGGTACCAGAACATTTTCTAGGAAATAAGATACTGACACTGACCTCATCCCCCCACTGAGATGCAGTTTGGCCAAGAATATTTGGATCTAGTATCAGATTTATAAACTTTGATAATTACATGAAAATAAAATTTTACCTTTCTGAATAGATCCATACACTTCTTAGCAAGATGGAAGTTCTGATTGTGTGTGTCCGCCAAATGTCATGTTGTTGCTTATGTTAATTCTTTCGGTACCAGCCAGTAATTTGTTGAAATCTTCATGTCAGAAAACATTTTAGTTCAGTGAAGAATTTTTAGTCTGGAGGAGTTAAAATATCAACACTAGGATAGAACTTCTGTTATATTACTGTTTTTAAAGTAATGCACTAATGAATTTTAATCATGGATATTTCTTCTTTGGCTTCTCCAACGAAACCTTCTTCTGGTACTAAAAGAGTTAAACAATAATCAGACAATAACAAGATTTGCAAGATGTCTAACATGCATTATTTTTGTATAATCCAGATTAACGGAGTTGTTGACAGTCACATCCGGCGCTTATTAATGGAGCCAGTTGAAGCAAGAGGCGACTGGATATGTATTGTTGACCAAGGTGATCTAAAAGTTTTCAAGCGAGAACTCGAAGAAGATGGCATCCCTATAGATCCAATGAAAGCTGTTTGTACAGTCAAGGTAAGGATCTTTATTGTTTTGACTGTTGAAAAATAAATTATCTATAGTGCAATCATTTTTTGTTTCTAAAACTGGATCCTAATCTTTCTCATAGCTATTTTAATTCCACAAGAATTTATGTTACTTATTTATTTTATGCACTAATCTAGCACATTCATAAGTGTATAAGATATAAGAGAAAATGGTATATTTATGTGATGTTGCTATTTGAATTAATGAAGAAGGAGAAATTGTGGAATTAAAAAAAGAGGTCGCAACATTTTTCTCTGTGCACTAAATATTCAGATTAAACAGGCAAATGCCCTACACAGAGATTGGGAAAATATAACTTACTGAGTGATGATTTGCAGGCCAGAATTACAGTACGTGGAGAATAACAGGCAGATTATGAAATAATAATCATTATTTAAAAATTTATAATGGGTAAGTCAGAACAGACTATAGTATATGATAGGTGCAGTGATTGTAGAAAGCAAGTGGGCTGCAGCTAGAAGCAGAAGAAATGGGAATGTGCCTTAATAACATTAAAGTCACCACTGGAGCAAGTACTTTTGGTTTATAAAAAAGAAAATGAAAAATTTAATAAAATGAAAACGCTTTAAACAAAGAAATCTTTAACTGCTACATGCTCTTCTTTTTTTTCCTCTCTCTAGGGTATCACAGGACATGAAGTTTGTCATTACTTTTGGGCATTTGACACAAGAATGGAATGGGAAGGTAATTTGTAAGAATCGTTGGACTTTATATTTGGTTGGTAGAAGCTGCTGGGTGCGAACACATGTGTATAACTTACCAAGTATGACTGGGAAGTCACAGTAGCACAATGATTTAATTTACTTGCCTGCCAGCCCAGTGGTTTTATGTTCTCATCTTCTTCTGTGTTTGGCCTAAATAAATCGGTTGTCACCTTGTGGTGTTGTTTACAAATACAGCTAAGCTGCAATATACTCACCTTTCAGCCCAGGACATTATTACCCTAAATCCTTGATTGGTCGCTTTTTATGGCATACTTTTTTGTGTGGGGGGGGGGGGGTGTCTCTAAATTGGGCTAGGAAACAAGTCAGTGGTGGTATAGCATTCAGTGTGACTATCAGTTAGATGGGTTGCCTTTCATTGTTTATAAGCTCTGTTGCTCAGCTTGTCTAGTCAACCAAGACCTGTCCAGAAGCTATAAGTGAGCTAGATGCCCAAATTAGAACCAAGGAATTTGGAGTACTCTTGGCGATATTACCTGTATTTCTTTTCAGAAGTGGATTGTGTTGGGAATAATTTAGCAAGATATGATGATTTGTTTGATATTTAACAAGTTAACTACTTCATTATCAAGCAACTCACCATGTGTTTGTTGGGCACTACTTAAATTATACTTTCTGTTTTCCCCCTCATGCCACATTTACTTGTTACGCTAATCCACACTGTTCCAACTGTTACCTTAACTCCTTTTCTGTCAGAGTACTGTTATTTGAAGTCTGAACCAGATATTTATTATTTGAAGTAAATATTGTGTAGGAAAGATTGGGATAAATTATGTATGCCTGGTACTGAAAGAATTAAGCAGACTCAAGTGTATTTATGCAGAGAGCAAGCCGGTGTTTGACATGTAGTGATTTATTTGGTATTTAGTAATGCTGAAGTTGTATGACCCTGTCGGCCCGAGAAGCCGTAAAACCAGCACTTCTGGTTGGGCCTGATTCCCAGGGGAAGCCACTAAACAGACTTTTCTACAGTGGCATGTTTACAAGACGTGTAGTTACTCCTTATATGTATCTTTATATTTTCCCCTCCCCTTAATATAGATAAATAATGTAAATTTTTTTTTTTTAGTGATCTGTTTTAAAAAAAGGGGGGGGGGGGGATATGCATTTTAGCATTCCTGTGTGACAGGGCTAACTGACAGTGTTGACTTATACAGAGAGTAAATAATTAATGTGTTAACAATTTGAAATGACTTGAATATTGCTGCAGCAGAAAGGCCTTCGCATAATCAGGGTGGGCAAAACGCGGCTTGCAAGCTGCTTAGCGATCTGAGAGCGGCTCGACCAGACGACCACAAATTTTGATTCCGAAAAACATGGTTCTCAACAGAATTGTAATGTTCCTGCTGGTGATTTTTTTGGCTCTTTTGACTAATAAGTTTACCCACCACTAGTCTAGAAGAGACCTTTTCAAACTGTGTTGTGATACATTAGTGTGTTTTGGCTGTAGTTTGAAGATGTGTCATGCAAACATGATTTATGAATTTGTCGGTATCTCTTATAAGGGGTTATAGTTTAACTTTTGGTTTGCTAGTAAACTGAATTATGGTGTCCTGAAATTATGATTATCTAAAAAATGTCACCAATATAACAAGTTTGACACTGTTCTGGTCTAGAAGTTTACTCTAGCATTATGACGACTTAACACAGCCTTCAAGTCGCCCAGATGATTTACATAATTTTCTTTAGGATTTTCCTTACCTTTTCTGTGTTGTCCCTTTCAGCAACCCTTGATCACAGCAACCTTGTTGAGTGGCTGTCAGATGATACATTTGTTAGCCACAATGTGGTCAAGAGAGTCTGGCCGGCATCCCAGCGTGACGCTTGTTTCTGGTCACACATCAGACACATGTCCAAGAGCAATGATGAGGGACCTGACAGTTGGATTGTGGTCAACTATTCTTGTGAACATCCAGATTGTCAGGTATGTTTTATTACTTGCAGCAAAAAGTAATAGTAATGAACCCTTCTCGTATCATTGTCATATCAGACCCGTATTTTTTATAGACCAGTCAGTACTTGTTGGGTGACAGGGTAAAAATCACTACTGCTGCCTTTACGTCCCAGGACATTTTCTGGTACCTAATGTAGGCCGGGCTGACCTGTGAGTCACGGTCAGTTGTGAAAACATCTGCCCTGGTGCGGATATAAACATCTATCCTATTGCAGATTCAAATAAAGACCTTTGGGATAGTGGTCAAGAGCCTAGCTACTGTGGCAGCTCTCATTACTTAGATGGTTATGTTCTCATAAACAGCTTCAAGGTCAGTGAAATGGTTGACATCTGTCGGAATCTGTTCTTCCAGGCTAACCTTATGCTCTCCTCTCTTGAGATCACCATGGTCTTTTTTTTTCCTGGACTGTTGATACTCCATACTTTCTAACTAACTCAGTTCTTTATTCCAGACTTATCAGTTAAAACTCCAGATGTATTTTTTTAAGCACTTTATCAGCGAACAGTATTAGCTGTGACATTACAATTTGTGTCATCTTAACCTATTGAACCCATTCAGATAATTTTTGACTCGCTTCTACAAGCATTGATGACATCATCTATTAGAAGGCTAAATGAATTATAGAGATGGATGCGTGCTTGTCCAACTCAAATTGTTCTAAACTTCAGATTTATTATGTGCACTAATTAATCATTTCTGAAGGTATTTATTAAGAAAACTGAACTGATGGGTCAGGATTGCTGGAATGTTGCTTCTTGTTGAACAGTCGCATGTCCTCTCAAAAGCCTTTTTTAGACATTGGAAGCAAGGAAACGTGTCAGTTACTTAGTTAGTACCCTTAACTGCATTGCAAATTATAATCTATCTGAGAAGGCTAACATGGTTAATGCTGGACAGAGGTCTGTTGTGTCAGCTGAAAGGCACATATTTTATGATTGATTGATTGGCACCTTTCCATCTTTTCAGATGATATTGTTAAATGAGGGGACATGGGACTCACAGCCAGTGGCGATAGCAAGTGTGACCAACAAGACCCGCCCGCGTTAAGAAAAGTCTTCCGTAATTATGGCATGAGATTTCGGGACCGTTGTTGTCAACATTTGTGTTTAGTCTGTTGAGCTCTCATCCTTTCCACAATCATTTCTTCCTTCATTATCATTCCCTTACTGATGTGCCCCCTTCACACGACACGGTCTGTGGCATTTCGACAAATGTTATATCTTTGGTACATAAACAGAAAAAACATAAATAGCATCCAAACAGAAAATACTGAAGAATTCAGAAAAAAATGAAGATGATTATCTGTCATAGTTTTAGAATTTTGATTGTTAATGTCTGATAAAAATTCAGAGCTGAACATATATAAAATAAAAGCAGTTTCCCTGTTGTTATAAACGGTCAACAAAGAAAACAACAGATAGCACAGTTAATAGCTTGCTATATTTTGCTGTATTGCATCAGGTGCACACTACAGTAATAATTATGTCAAATGAAGCAAATAAATAAATCTTTTCAACTAAATTTAAAAAAAAAATACCACACTCATATTAGCCCAATACAGCTAAATATGCCAGGCTGCAAATGAATTGTGTAAACTGTTTCTTCTCTTTGCCTATTTACTTGTTCTGTTCCACAAGTACCTCTTGCTCACTTTCTGGAGTATCTTTTTGTCTTCCAATTGCAGCCAAATAAATATGTCCGTATCACCATGAACGTGGCCATGATTTGTGAAACCATCATAGAACCACCTGCAGACGGGGACATTTCCAGAGACCACATTACCTGTAAAATCACCTACACTGCAGATGGTAAGAATTGTGGGAGATACTGACAGCTGTGTGTGACTGGGAGTATTTTATATTTGTAGAATTCTGTTACTTATTAGACGAATAATTACAAATAAGAATTATACTATGTACAAAAATGTACCATTGTCCAAATGCCATGAAGATGGGAATTTTCTTTACAATGGTCCAGAAGTGGATGAACAGCCAGAATTTTCTACTGGAGTTGACAACTGGAGAGCGCTAAAAAAGAACAACAAATACTAGACAAGCTGCAGGTAGACGGTGTTCTGTCAGCATGAAGGCCTAGCCTCTAGGGTTCAGATCTACATCAAGGCAGATTTGTTTGAAAAATTCACCTAGGCTTTCAGGTCGGTCGAGCCTAAAATGGGTATCAGATAATATCCTGATAAGTAAAGATGGTCACGTTTAATTGACCACTTTTTTCATCGAGTGCTGGTTGGTTTATAACAAATACGGGTCTAGCACCATATGCCTGAGGCGCCACAGGTGTTGTAAAAAGGAGTTTTTGTCGGCGATGGTATCAGTGCCATGTGCAGCACTCAGGGCAGAAATGAACATGGCATTTCACTATGGAGACATGACATTTGATTAGTCAGCAAAAAAACAGTGGTTTCATGCTTGTGGAGCTTTTGAGGAGGAGATTTGAGCACATGTAGATCTGTCCCAAGGTGCTGTGATGATGAGCTGAGTTGAGTCAAGAATTGACATCACAGCACTATGAGCATTCCCATGTGTGCTCCGTCCTCATCTTCAGCAACCAGCGCAGAGTTCCAGTACTGATCACAATCTGGTTATATCTTACCTTTCCTCTGAGTGTAGTGAGCCAGCCAGACCCTCTGGTTACACCCAGGTACCTCATTCTCTCCATACCATAATAATCTTGTTTCTCTACTGATTCCGTTGCTTGTTTCCAAAGGGCCTTGAACACATCTGCCTTGTCATGTATCAATTTACCACCAAGTAGTGCAGATCCAGCCAATCTGTCTGCCTGTTCATTACCCACTATGCAGGCATGGCCTGGAGAAAAGATCTAAAGTATGCTTACTACCCATGACCTTTCCAGTGAAGCTTGCCACTCTCTCGAAGCATCTCTGTCTTCACCTTTCTCAGCATGCTTACAAAGTCTGTTACAATTACGTCATATGTATGCATCTTGTTTTCTAATTACAGAAGAACTGCTGTTACCTCCTCCACCTCCAGTCTTATGCTAGATGTTGTGATTTTGTATGCTAGGCTGTCCTGCATTAAAGTTATTCCCATTGGCTTTCACTACAAACCCCTGGGCACTTCTCTTTTCTATCAACACTGAACCATCTGTATAGATAATCAGATCACCTGGGCGTAAATTGTCGTGAATTGTCGTGTCGCTGTTGGACTTCCACCTTCGTAGCACCCGCTGGTCACTTTCTACACTCCTGGCTCAATGTGATTGTGATGATGATCCTCGGTAATCGCTATTCTAGATAACAACAAACACATTCATAGATTATACATTGATAAACAGCAGATAACAACAAACACATTCATAGGGGTTTATTTATGATAAACAGCAAACTGTATTCAATTTCTCTTGTTCAATTTCAGTGAATCCAGGAGGCTGGGCGCCAGCTTCAGTGTTAAGAGCGGTCTACAGGAGGGAGTACCCCAAATTTCTCCGACGATTTACAAGTTTCGTCTCGGAAAAAACAAAAGACAGAGATATCCTTTTCTGAAGCTTGCAGTCATGAATTGCTATGTTTATATTAAAAAAATTTAATCTATACAGTTCTGCCTTACCGCATTTATTTATGTCAGTTGCATGTTCTTTGTAAACATCCAGTTTCTATACAATATAAAAACTTTTTTTAACTTTATGAATGCAATATATTTTGTGAGGCAAATTTAAACATATGTGAGTTATATATCCATAACTGTCACTGTTTTGAACTGATGTGTACATAAATATGAAGGGGTTATGAAATTGAGTGTAAACTGTAATATTTATGTTAATTTATTTGTGATGATGACGACTTGTGGAGAGGCATGATCACCCACGCCAGTCAGCAAGGCACTTGATGATGACGATGACTTGATTTATTCTGCCAGTGTATAGGGAAGTTATTTCAGATGAATGTTAGTCACTTGAATTGTTGCCAGAAATGTGATTTAATTATGTTGATAAAAGCTGTGGTATAAGGATAGCTCAGGTTGTTGTTTAGAGTACTTTTACATTCACTGTAACTGCAGTGAATGTACTAAGGTTAGTTGCGTATCCTTTACAGGACGTTGCAGAACCAACCCCAACAGCCCCTGGCTGCTGTGTGGTTTTTCTAGGCAAATTTACGTCCAGCAGTTTGCCATTTCTTTCTGGATGGTCGGCCTTCTTGATACCACTGTCGAAACCAACGCAAGGCGCATGGCCTGCAGCTGGGATCGAACCTGGAATCCTGACATTATGAAGCATTCGCATCGACTTAGCCACAGAGCCAACGTAAATGTACTACGAGAACAAATTGGAACAGTTATCAAGTTTATCTTATGTCTTTTGTTTTTGGAGAGAGAGCAGTCTGATGTTAAATGTAAATTTAAGGTCGTGAGGATTAACTTCACTGCTCCATGTTATCCCATTTGGCTCGGTCACTGTCAGCAGCTCCAGCAATGATCCCCGGCTGTAAACTTTGATGGAAAGTTCTGGTTGTTCATCCACCTCCACACTTTAGTCTTGTTCCAGAACCTGAGTCTTGCATGCAAATCCATTTTATATATCTGACTTATTTGTGTGCAGCTTGTTGGTTCCACGCCTCTGAAACAGATCTCTCTGACTTTGGCCAAAGTGCCTAACTAGTCTAGTCTTTACGACATGCCTGTTGATACCACTGTCGAAACCAACGCAAGGCGCATGGCCTGCAGCTGGGATCGAACCTGGAATCCTGACATTACGAAGCATTCGCATCGACTTAGCCACAGAGCCAACGTGAATGTACTACGAGAACAAATTGGAACAGTTATCAAGTTTATCTTATGTCTTTTGTTTTTGGAGAGAGAGCAGTCTGATGTTAAATGTAAATTTAAGGTCATGAGGATTAACTTCACTGCTCCATGTTGTCCCATTTGGCTCGGTCACTGTCAGCAGCTCCAGCAATGATCCCCGGCTGTAAACTTTGATGGAAAGTTCTGGTTGTTCATCCACCTCCACACTTTAGTCTTGTTCCAGAACCTGAGTCTTGCATGCAAATCCATTTTATATATCTGACTTATTTGTGTGCAGCTTGTTGGTTCCACGCCTCTGAAACAGATCTCTCTGACTTTGGCCAAAGTGCCTAACTAGTCTAGTCTTACGACATGCCTGTTGATACCACTGTCGAAACCAACGCAAGGCGCATGGCCTGCAGCTGGGATCGAACCTGGAATCCTGACATTACGAAGCATTCGCATCGACTTAGCCACAGAGCCAACGTGAATGTACTACGAGAACAAATTGGAACAGTTATCAAGTTTATCTTATGTCTTTTGTTTTTGGAGAGAGAGCAGTCTGATGTTAAATGTAAATTTAAGGTCGTGAGGATTAACTTCACTGCTCCATGTTATCCCATTTGGCTCGGTCACTGTCAGCAGCTCCAGCAATGATCCCCGGCTGTAAACTTTGATGGAAAGTTCTGGTTGTTCATCCACCTCCACACTTTAGTCTTGTTCCAGAACCTGAGTCTTGCATGCAAATCCATTTTATATATCTGACTTATTTGTGTGCAGCTTGTTGGTTCCACGCCTCTGAAACAGATCTCTCTGACTTTGGCCAAAGTGCCTAACTAGTCTAGTCTTACGACATGCCTGTTGGGGTGGCAGTGAGTCTATTCTTGTTTTCCTTAGAACCCACACAGGGAGGGTGGACTAAGTATATGAACGGAGGCAATTGCCCACCTAATGAACAAGGCATAATGTATACATGTATATTTGACCAGTCACAGAGACTTGTTTATATCAGGATTCACAGAGTTGGAGATGCTGTTCACAAACAACAAGTAATTTATTTTATTTTATGCTTTAATACAGAGAAACTCTCTTAGATAAGAGATATAAGAGATTTGGTGATTGATTTGATTAGTGTTTTCTGTGACCTACTGACAACACGTAGACTGCATGGCATGTATCAGACATACTGCCTTAATTTTTCAAGATAAATTGTAGGTTCTTAGCTTGTAGAGGTATCACATTCTTGGATTGGTATTTTGGAAAATGGGGGGGGGGGGGGGAACTGGAGATTTCAAAAACATTTTCAACTTTAGATTTATGACATTCAGTACAATATATATGGCTGCTAGCTTGCATGTAGCCGTAGCCACAGTCTGAGTGATAGTTGCTACAGATCAGTCATACCGAGTGAGATAGTGTTTATTATATGTGCAAAATTTAAGTTGCTACAGATTTTACCAAGTGCAGTAGTATTTGTTGTACATGCAAAATTATCGATGAACATGTAGAAGAGAGTGAAGGCAGTTGTCATCCAGAAACTACAGTGTAAAGCTAGATGTAGGTACTTAGTTTGTAGAGATATTCTATTTTTAAATTGGTACTTTGTTTGGGGAAAAGGGGGGAAGGGGGGGGGGGAAAGGGGGAATTAAACTGGGGATTTCATAGTCTTTTCAACATGCAGACATACAGTATATGTAACTTAACTGGCAACAGGCAGTATTTATAACTTTAATTTGCATTAGACTTGATGCAAGCAGACTAATGTCAGAGAGCTTACATAATTCAAACTGACTTTGAAGAGATTAATTTTTGTATGTGTGGAAAAAAGGTAGTAGAGTGTATAAGTAAACAGTTTAAAATGTTACAAGTTTTAGTTGCCAGTTCACTGTATAGACCTGGGCTTCCCAAACTGTGTCGTGACACATTAGTGTTTTGGCTGCTGTGTGAAGGCGTGTAGCAGGAACATAATTTATGCATGTCTTAGTGTCTTTTAAAAAGGGGTTTATTTAACCTCCGGTTTGCTAGTAGACTGAATTACTGAGTCTTAAAATTATGTTTGTCTAAAATGTGTGTCACCAACATAAAAAGTATGGAAAGTTCTGATCTAGACATACAGATGAGTTGTGTTTATTTGAGTTTATATTTCACATAGTTAGTTATGTACAATCATACGGTTATCTGAAATACACACACACAGTTATTTCAAGTACTGACACAGTCTGAAGTACTGGCACACTCTTGTCTGATTTAAAAACACACTGTTGTCTGAAGTAGATTTTACAGTGCCATGTTCGCTTAAACTTTCCTTGCAGAACCAAAACGAGCCTGAAAGTAGAGGTGAATGCCAAAGAGAAATGAATTAACATTTGCCAAGGAAGCTAGACAAATAATAGAGACTTGAAATTGTTTTGACTATATTTTTTTAAAGCAAACAGAACAGAATATACTTAGCTGGCAACAGAAATATCACACCCAAATGTCATTTTGAAATAAAAAATGTAAGCAAGAAGCTGGGAAGACAAAACAGTACGATATCACACTTGAACAATTAATGTTCATTCATCTTTAACTGAACCATGAGAGTTTTTCGATTTAACAAAGAAAATACATATGCTGTACACACACACAAACACACACACAGACATGCATTGATGTGTGTTTTCCATTGAGCTGATGCTGTTGACGTGAACATTATGTAATATGCTTTAGTGATCAAATACAATTGTAGTCTAAGAGATCAGTATTTGGAAGGGCTGAATGTGAGACAGGCCTGTGTGCCCAATTTGTGACCACTTGAAAATAAACTTTGTTCGTTCGATACCTTAAATGTATTAGGATGTGTTGATTTGAAGCTAGTCAGGAAACTTTAGATGTATGACATTCAATACAATATATAGGTGAGTGCTAGCTCACATCGAGCTGTAGCCACAGTTTGAGTAATAGTTGCTATAGATCAGTCACACTGAGTTAAGTGGTATTTATTATATGTGGAAAATTTAAGTTGCTCATTCAGAGTGAAGTAGTATTTGTTATATTCAAAATTGCTGATGAATGTGAAGAAGAAAAAGAGAGTGAAGGCAGCTGCGGTTCATAAACTACAGAGTAAAGCTAGATGTTTCTGCTAAAATGTGTGCATATTACTTGTTGAAAGGATCAACATTGCACCAGGTTATCCCATATGGCAGGTCTGTTGAGCTGGATTTACTCAGGCCAGAATTGTGAAAATGGAGATCGTCATAGCCATAGACCCGAGCGCCAGCATAGACAGGTCATTATACAATACAGCTGGCAACTATCTGCAGGCCACTTGCCAGATGTGGCCCACGGGCTGCAGTTGATCAGTCCTGCCATATGGCTTGGTCTCTCTTCAGAACAGCTAGCCACCTGCAAAGAGCTTGTAATATTCAGAAAATGTTTTGTTTTTAATAACCCTCTTCCGTTTGTACATTATGTATATTATTCAGACTGAAGAAAGATGGTTTGTGTGCATTAAAATGTTTTTGTTTGTTTTGTTTTTAGAGACAAAATTTTAAATGTACTGTGAATTTAATTTTTTTTTAAATCTTTTGAAAATAAATAAATTTAAAGGACCCTTTTTATGCAAGCGGTGGGTGAATGATGCATATTTTTCTCGACCAATTGACACATTGTGCTGGCCACCTTTACTTCCCAGGATATTTTCTGGTAACCATTTTAGGCTTGGAGCCAAGGTCAGTTTATTTTCCAAACCATTCAGTGTGAATTTGAACCCAGGAACTTAAGG